CATTAACGAATCCCTGCTTAGAACTGTGTTTCCATCATTGCTCGTAACTAGTTGTTGATAGATATTTTTGTTGTTGTAATATGATCGGTTTGGTCCTCCGTGCCCATCCTATTCTACGGTGGGCAACTGCATCAGAATCGAGTTGACGATGACGACGACAACAACGGCGGTGGTTCTCGTGTCACAGGCGTGACCGTGTGGGAGCTCATGACGTTCGGAGGCAAGCCGTACGATGGGAATCTCTGCGCGGGACATCCCCGGGCTCCTGGAGAAGGGGGAGCGGCTCCCCCAGCCCCCGGTGTGCACCATCGACGTCTACATGATCATGGTGAAATGTACGTCGCAGCCCGCGGCCCGCTCCGCCGCCCCCTTCCCCCTCCACGACGAGCAGCAGGGTACGGCGCAATGGAAGCCAACGTCTCCGCGCTGGCGATCGCCGTCATCGGAAACTGACTCGTGACGTCGACCCGTCGGTAACGCGCGACGCGGCCCAGGCTCATGGGCCCCCAGACCACGGATGTGCCGTAAGGTCAGCATGTCACCTGCAGCCCACCCTGAGTTGAGGGCTGACCGCGGCGGCTCCGTGTTCACGAGCGCTGGCACGATGAGCCTGGCTGTTCTAGGACTGATCCCACGAACGGCAACAACGAGGACCTGAGTTCCCATCCTCCATGGGCCGCTTGGCTTCATGAACCCAGCTGCTCACATATTCCTTCCCCCTCTTTACCCCTCATAAGATTAATAATTACTTTAATTTGGTATCTGCACCATTCTATAGCACAAGTCCTATCGCAAAGGCACTGTGTTTCACAGATGAGCACGTCAGCCAGTTGGGGACGATGTTGCTACATTGAAAACGAATGTTTTTGGAACTGCTGTTGTGTCTAGTTTGTTATCGTTCACCCACACCTCCAATAAGCACGGTTGGCTACGTACGTGCGAAAGAAGTTGAACATACAAACAGTATATATACTCTCCACCTCACGTGATTCATTCCTCAAGATTGGCTCTGGTACCCCAAAGGACGGAGCTGGTGATGGCGGATTGCACGCAAGAGAGGACACAGTGCTCATGGTTATAATGGTGGCCATATGAAAATAATATCAAGCGCATGTGCACAGAGCCATGGACAAATGGCTGTCAGAAAAGAAGAGATAAAGGCTGGCAGATGGTCACGTTTTAAATTGTGGCATTGAGTTAGGCATGGACGCCACGGTGGCGAGATGTTAACTACCTCGCCTGGTATGCAGGAAGTCGTGGGTATGCTCCCGACCCTGTCGCCTGCTGTATATTTGGAGTTCGTGTGTCTCTCTCCCCGTGGTCGTGTTGGATTTTCTCTGGGTTCTCCAGTTTTTCCCTTAACATTTGGAAGGGATAATAAATACCAAATGCATTTATTTAACTTTTTACAATCCTGATCCTCCGCTTCAGATAGCTTCTTGGTTGAGGGCGTGATCGCAATGCTGTCTGCTGGATATATCACTGCAACATGCGCACTTGCTGAGTATCCGTATGCTTATTTTATGCTGATCGGTCAATCATTCGATGTTTGTTATACATTTGTGTCATGCATTTGTTTGACATTCTTCAGCCCTTTGGAGTGCAAATATATGCATTTTATATTCATATGCATTGATTGGCTGGTGGTGGCAAGGTATGAACCAGTTTAATGTTGTTCACAACATGTTCATGTGAATGGATGGCAGGGTGACATCGTGGTAACACGTATGCCTCACTCAAAGAATGTCCTGGGTTTTGATTCCAAACTCTGCGTGGAGTTGCAATGTTCTCCCCCTGTTCTGCAGAGTGTGAGTGAATGTGAATGGGCGTGGTGCTGGCCTTCATAGGTGCTCACTGACAGCACTTTCCCCAAGAGCCTATTAAGGCTATACGGGGGGATCTTTTTTTCTTTGTGAGTGCATTTTGTATGCCCCCCCTCTTCTGCATGGGTTATATCAGGGTTTTCTGGTGTCCTGTCATAGCTAACATTAAAACGACAAAATGTATCTGGTATTGGCCAAAACATCCCAATGCTGAAATTGCTCATTTGGGATTACACCCAGCAGCAACATCGCCTCCCTACCACGGAAACTTGACAGGACCTGGCGAGACTCTTCTGGGTAAAGGAGCATAACTAATATTTATAGAAAAACTGTTGCCCGTATCAGAAATGATGAAAAACAAGAAGAAAGCGTGACTCTCTCTGGCAAGAAAACTTAGTTGTTATACGCAGCCACTTTTGGAGGCTTGCCCCTCTTTTCTCTCCACCTTGTGTTTGCGATCGTAACGGTCGTGGGCTTTTTGCTTTACATTTTTTTTCTATCTCCGTGACTTTACCGAAAGAACCAAGAATATTAGGATTTTCACATCCAAATAATACATTTTGCAAGGCATCAAGTCTGCATTAACACACATTCTCTGATAATATAGGCATTGGCTTGCACCAGAGACATCAGCCTTCTGTATGTCGTTGTCTCACCAATGTGAGACGAGAAAACGCACACGAGGCGCGTAGTAAACAAGACGATGCCACGTATCGGACGCTTCGAGCTCGGGTCGAGCAGTTATATCAAGCGGGATCTTTTGCCAGTCTTGGTGTGCTCTGAGACTGTTTCGCTGATGTTTGTCTGCCTTGCCCAAGCTTGGAAATTGATGTACTTATGCAATTCTTACTTATATACTTAATGTATTAGTAATTACAATTTTATTTTAGTGGATTAGCTTACCTTTTCTATACATTGCACTGTTATTGTTTTTTAATATTTTTATTGTAACTTTCTAACCTGCCCCTATTGGACATTTGTGAAAAATAGCTTCATAGCTCATCGGATTTCACCAGGATAAATACAAATTCAGAAATCTGGTCACGGTTTCTCCATTCAGGTTGGATGATCGATGCTGAGTCCCGGCCCCGGTTTAGCGAGCTGGCTACCGACTTTTCCAAGATGGCTCGTGATCCTTCCAGATACCTGGTCATTCAGGTGATTACACACACACACACATACACACACATACACACACACATACATACACACATACACATACAACACATATCTTGTGGTAAATCAGACTGTTGCTTCAAGCATTAATGTTCACATTCCTTAAAATGCCGTTATCGCTGCCTCTGCTGCTGCTATAGGGAGATGAGCCTATGGCTTTGCCAAGCCCCACGGACAGCAAATTCTACAAGAGCTTCCTGCAGGATAGCAACGAGGAGCTGGGAGTCGTCTCCATGCAGGAGGAGACCTTCCTGAACTCCTCCACGCGCCCGTTCCACCTCATGCCTCCGCCTTCGGGCCGACGGCATGGCACCGCCACACTGGTGAGCAGAATGGCTCCCAGCTTCACCTACGCTGATGGGGCCGGGGAAAGCTCTGATGTGGCAACGCCGGCTCTTCTCCGTTGACAAATGAATCACAGTCGTGATTGGTGGCTTTGTTTTTTACCGAGCATCTAATGCGGTAAATGCCTCGTTTCTATTAGTGTTGCAATATGCATTGAGGGGTATTGACGTTGTTGTTCATGTGCTCACACGCCACCTATCCTCCCTTTGTATAACAGCCTAGAGCTGTTATATGATACATAATATCGTATATTTCTTCCTGCCTCAGCAGTCCGCCTGCTGTACTTTTTCACCTGAAGACGATTGCTTGTGTTGCGATCGAAACGTCGTGATTTTTAATTACTTTATTATTTTTCTATCTACGTGACTTTACCGAAAGACCCAAACAGTATGAATTCCTGCAGTCACGATAGCTTTAAGTCATGCATAGAGCTGGCTAAATTGGACCATCCATGTAACGAATCAATTAATACTCAAAACTCAGGTAAATCTTACAGCTCTGTTTAATGCAAGACCTACAGCCCCAAAGTGACTTTGCGACTGTAGGGAGCTAACAACAGCCACTTAAATCATCAGAAAATCACGTTCAAATAACACACAAAAAACTAAACACGTTAATCAATTTATAACACTGCGGTCTTAAAATGAAAAATAGGCGATATTTCGGGAAATGGCCCTTCTGCAGAGAGGCCAGAGAGGAAGGTCATCGAGCCCCACTCTGGCCGATATACGAGGGCCAATTGGCTGAAATGTTTTCATATGATCTAAAATTACGTTCAAACTGTAGATATAGAATTTGAACTGGGAAGAGGCTGTCACAGCAGCCTGGTTATGAAATAATGACACGCAAATCGCGGGGTCTTGTTCACGAGATAGTGCAGCTGTCTTTTTTCTGCCTTGTGGTGTAAATACAAGAGTGTTTGAATAAATACAGCAGCAGAAACATTTCCCTGCCCACCCTAATGGTTTCCGCCCACACGTAAACACTCGTGAATTTTCCAATAACAATTTCGTATCTCATCCTGCCTAATGGCCATCCAAGCATTGATAACACGAAATTTCCTCTCCCTTAACCCATTTAGAACCACCGTGCTCTACTTCCCCACCTTCCGCTCTCCTCCACCTTCTCCTCCCCCCTCCATATCTTCCCCACGCTCAGTCTAACTTCGATCGCTTCAGTCCGAATTCTTGGCGTCACCTTTGAATCTTAATTTTCCTTCACTTCCGACATCGCCAACACCGCTCGCACATTGCCGCTTCCATCTTTTTAAATATCAGGAAATTCACCATCACCGCTGCCAAACGTCTTGTGCACTCCGTAGACTTCACTCCTCTGGATTATTGCAACTCGCTCCTGGTCAGTCTCCCTGCTACACCCTTGCCCCTCTACAATAAATAAAAAATTCGGCTGCATGCACAGTCCTTAACCTCCCATTCCACCACTCATTGCTCCCCACTCCTTCAACAACTTCACTGGCTTCCTATCTGTCACCGCTGCCTCTTTATATCGCTCACCTTCGTTTTCAAAGCTTTTGCATGGACTGCCCCCTCTCTTACCTATTCTTCTCTCATTTCCTTATATGTCCCATCACATCCGCTGCGGTTACAAGCTGCTTATCTTCTGGCTGTCCCTCCTCCACCCTGTGCCCATCCCGCTTTCACTCCTTATCTCAGCTTGCCCCCTTACACTGGAACAAACTCCCTCTCCACATCCGACTCTCACCCCCCACCCCTTGCTTTCCTCTCTTCGCAATGCCCTCAGCTCCTGTCTCTTTTCTCTTCTCGCCTCTTCCCGTCCTCTCCCGCCACCCCTACCAGCACCACCTAACACCCCTAACGCCCCACCGCCGCAGCCTCCACCTCGCTCCCTCCACTCTTTGTCACTACCCAATCCCCATCCCATATCTTGCCATTTTGTACCGTAGTCGGTAGGCATTGTGAAGCGCCTTGGTGAAGGGTGCTTTATAAATCCAAACAGAATAGCATATATAAAGGACCGGCAGAGCTTGGCGGGCGGGGGGGGGGGGATTTGGTACCTGCTTACCGCGTCCCCTCCTTTCCCACGTTTCTTCTCCTGGCGAGTCGGGGTATGGCTCTTTGACTCCCACAGGAAGAGAGTTTCACACCGTTGGTGTGATCCTCTAATGTTGTGCTGGATTCCGAGCCACGTGCGTAACCACCGCCGCCCGGCTATCACAGAACGTCTCGCGTTCATCCAAGGTGATGTTTTACAAACGGCTTGTTGTTTGCAGGGCAGCAAAGATGGGACTTCACCTCCGCCACCCTACACGCCAATGTCTGGGGTATGCGCTTTCACCGAACCCTTTTCCAAGTCCTCAAAACGCATCATTTTCCACTTTCGAGCGCGGCGCAGATTATTATCTGTGTCGCGTACCGCATGCAAATATTTGCGAAAGAATGGGGTTGTGATCGACAACACATGGACATTTTTCATAGAATCCGGAACACATTGTGCCCTTGATGCAAACCACATTGTGTTTTTTATTGAAACCTTTTAAACGAAATTGCGAAGCCGGACAATCGATGTTTTATTGGCTCGCGTCCTCTAGCAGGAGCCAAGAGATGCGACAGTGGAGATAATTGCACCGTTAAGGTATCACATCGTTATGTCAGAACACGGTTGAATGTATCGCGATTAAATTACAGCCTGTTCTCCTACAACGCGGTAGTGGTTGCGTTCCTGAAGAGCACCGTGTTATGGAAAAATCGCGTTAGAATAAATAATAGATAATGTGGGCTAAAGCACAGTCCGCGATAACACGTGAGATGCGTACGCAGGCTGAACAAAGACTGAGGCACGTGGGTAGCATCTAGAAGCATCCAGCAGTATCCCAATGCCACGTGCGATGCTTCGCCGAGGCAGCCGTACGACCGCTGATTCCTACTCGAGCGAAATTCACTCAATCGCGTTATATCCAATTTGCATCCGCATTGTAAAAAATGTGTTCCCTCATACATTCATCGCGTTATATCCAATTCACGTGATGAAAACAACACGTGGCGTTATCGGAGAACGGACTGTATTCAGGTTTAACACGTAGGCTTTCGCGACCAATATTATTCATAATAAAGCTTTTTGGTTAGATCGCGTTATTTATAAATGTGTCGTAACCCTCCACCACACGACAAGGCCAGTACGACGTTTCGCTGATAATTGCATCCAGCATCATCGGGCAATTCGCCAGAATTCTGGTGGGCTAAAGTAGTGAACTATTTGTCTTTTGTCAACGTGACACTTTTTTTTGCTGATTGGCCATGTCGGTGGTGGAGGGTTACACACATTTATAAATAACGCGATCTATCCCAAAAACGTTATTATGTATTCAGGTTACACTCAGTTAACACGTAGGCGTTTGCGACCAATATTATCCATTATTATCCAGGTTAAACTCTGCAGGATGGGGATATTCTGAGTTCGGCAGTAGGAACCATGGAGCATGCAGGTCTTGGAGTGGAAGAGTGCAGGTGTGCATTATTAATGCTCACATTAGTTCAGTGGAAACTTCTCAGAGGAAATGCAAGCATTGGCTGGTACACAACCTGTGGTGTTTTACAACACGAGAAAATGCCCGCGTTCGAACGACTAACATCAGCCTTTCCCCCGCGCGGCATTGCCCACGATGCACCGGCAGCGTTAGCGTCTGGCACCGCCAGCAGGTGGAGATTGTTTGCCAGACACGCGCACAAATACACGCGTGGAGACTCATATTGAAACCACCAAGTTGAACTCGGGGTATGGTGGAATGCGGGGCATGCTGGGAAGGCTCACAGAAATTATTAAATAATGTGAAAAATAGTTTGGCTGTAAGATGTTCATGCACCAATGGAGCGGTACGCAATGGGATGCGACATTCCGCTGTCAATCAACGTGCATCCAGCCCCACCACGTGGTCTGCTTATCGTTACTCTTATCAATTCATTTTGTGGTTAATATTCATTTCTTATATTTTTTTATACATTTTATTAATTTAAGTGTTATTTTATTTACTGGAAAATGAATGTGAAAGAACGAGGGTGCAAGATCGTCACTATAAGGACGGATCGGAAACGTGGGAGATGGACAAATAACTTTGCATAAACAGCTGAAAAGTATTGGAAAGAAGCACAGAAATGCATGCTGGGAATGATATTGAAAGATGGAAAGAGGAACAAGTGGGTCAGAGAATATGTGCACGTTAACATCACATTGACTGTTAAGAAAAGTATGGGGCGCCATGGTGGCGAGATGTTAACTACCTCGCCTGGTATGGGGGAGGTTGTAGGTCCGATCCCGACCTTCACGCCTGTATATTTGGAGCTTACATGTGCTCCCCGCGGTCGCATGGATTTTTCTCTGGGTCCTCTGGTTTTTCCCTCCGCTATGCTGAGCACGTGGATTTCCACATGCTGAGTATAGTTTAGCCACGTCGCTCCGCAGAGTGTTTTTGGAGCGTTTTGACTTTTTGCGAAACAACCTGGAGGGGGGGGGGGTTCTGACGAAGCGACCGTGACGTGGTGCAATCCCACAGAGCGTTGACTTCGAGCCGGATTGCGGGACGCCTGCGGCGTGCGACCGGAGCATCAGGCGCAGTCTGTCGCGCCGCTCGGAGACGTTGACGGCGCCGGGCCCCGCGGCGGCGGCGGCGGCCACGGGGGGCGCGGGACGCGCCGACCCCGCGGCGCTCGGCAAGTGGCCGGCTTCCCGCGGCCTCCTGGAGCGTGGCCGCCGGGACGGCGCGGAAGACGCGGAGGGCGGCAGCCTGCGCTACAGCCGGGACCCGACGGATGCCTTCGCTGAGGTGGAGTCCCCCGACTGCGATGGCTACGTGTCGCCCTTGCCGTGCGGCCAGACGCCCCGCGAGACAGGTCTGCACCCGCTGCACTCGGTCCTGCACCCCTTCACGTGTGTCCACGGCTCTATGCGTCAACCAACTGAAGCCCTCCCCTTACATCACCTGACTCTTGTGCGGCCACCCCTGTCATCTGTGTGAGAGGGGGAGGGATGCTGTTTGTTGTCCTTCACCCACACCTCCGATTAGTGCGGTTGACTACATGCGGTGCGAAAGAAGTTCAACATACTTATCTCTCTATCTAGATCTTCTCAAGCCTCCCGTACATCACGTGACTTCTATGTGACCACCCCCACCCTGGATCCCTCCCCTCTCATCTATATATCTCTCTATCGATCTAAATCTGCTCACGCCTCCCCGTACACCACATTACTTCTGTGTGGCCACCCCCACTCTGAATCCCTCCACTGCTCCCCGCCACCCCCTGTGAGGAGAGACGCTGCTCAATGCAACGACGCCGAGGGCCTCCTCCTCTCGCCTCTGCCTCCATATTTTCTTCTTTCCTGATCCTTTGTACACTTTTTATGTTACTTTTCCATCCCTTTCCTCTTATTTCCCGTTCTTTCTCTTCTCTCTTCCCTATTCCTTTAATGTTTTTTTTCCCGTTCATTATACCGCTGCCTCTACTCCCCTTCCCGTCGTGCCCCATGGGTACACGTTTAATGTTTATTTTATTTTGTTGAACGAGGTAAGAACTCATGAGACCAGGATAAGGTCTCGTTGTTTCATGAGGCTATCTGTTTTTGATATATGTTTAGTTTTATGAACAATAGCTATTTTAGTTAACAAAAATACATCAACAAAATAAGCTATTTTTGCAGATTGTTTCAAATTTTGATTTAAAGCTTTCGTGACTGCAGGGATTCATAGTCTTGGTTCTTTCGGTAAAGTCACGTAGAAGGGAAATACGAGACTTTACCGAAAGAACCAAGAATATGTTTCAACTTTGTTTCAAATTGATGGAATAACCATTCCCGGTAATTTTTGACGTTAATTGGATGAACCCCAAAGTCATCAGAGTTAATGTCTGTGAGCTCCTCACCGTTACCCTACGAGCACATCACCGTTTCTCTGCGTGCTTCTCCCATGTTGAACGGTCTGCGCTTTAATTGGCCGGGGCCACACCTGGGTATGGCTCACTGAAGGCAAACTGTGTCTGCGTCTCTCGCACTGTGGGCTGCCTTGATCCTCTTCTGGAAGGATGTTGGCCGAATGGTGAAGCTGCAGTTGTCAGCTGGAGGGAGCGAACTCGTCCTCATAACTGTCACACATGCGCCGTAACCTTTACGACGGGCTTTCGCAAGATGATTTTGATCGGCATCAGTAAATATGTCTGACATTTTAAAACTTTTAAGTTCACTGGTCATGACGTCGTGTTCTGGGGTAGGGTGCACTAATTGAACCGTGCAGCCACATTTCACATGCTCCACTTGCATCCACAGCCAACGTGAACATTCAAACAGCAGTTTCAATAAATCGGTATTTGATGCAATAGAGCTGCCTTGGTGTAAGAGTTAACGCACCGAACTTACCATCCAGAGGCCAATGGTTCACTGCTATCGCCCCCCCCCCCACGGCCTTTGTTCACCCAGCAGCGTAACGTCGAACACCACAGGCAGTAGAGTGGCAGGTCACGTGAGGTGAGGCAAATGGTCAACGTGGAAGAGTAGACCAAATACCCCCCGAGCGTTCGCTCTGGGCGAAGCCCCTTTTACCAGCAGCAGCAGCAGCGGCGGCGGCATGGGCTAGCACTTGCAGGTTTGCACCCTTCACGCCTCTCGTTGACCAATTTGTGCCTTTGTCCCCCAGAAACTTCCTGGCCTCTGCCGGCAGGGCCTCCGCCGGGCCAGCGATGGATGCTGGGAGACGGCCCGTCGGAGTACTCCGTGCCTCCGCTGCGTGAACCAGCTCTGCCGCCCTCCCGCGCCGTGCCCGGCAGCCCCGGGGGGGACGCCCGTTCGGACGTCGGCCCCGAGGGCCGGGGCGACGGAGAGGCGGAAGACGGCGCAAAGGGCGACGCTTCGCCGTTGGACGGCGCCGCCGGGGGAGTGGGTGGGCACCCGGATGAAGCGCGCGCGCTCAGGGGGGCGGAGTACATGGAAATGGACGGATCGCCGGACGAGAGCGCCGAGTACCTGTCGCCGCCCGTGCCGCAGCCCGCCTTCAGGGTGGCAGACGCCCCCGGCGCCAATGAGAATGGGCACGCGGTTAGCAGGAGCCACGACAGCCTTCCCACGGAGGCGAACAGGGACAGCTTGGGCACTCCAAGCTATCTGCAGACGGCGCTCGCCCTGCCGCTGTTCAAGCCCGGCCGACATGTCAAGTTTTCCGCCGCGGAGAACTTGGAGTACCTGTCGGATTTCGCGTGATCGCGACGGCTTCAGACGTTTGTGAAGGGGACGCGCAGGCTACCCTTTGCAGTTTACGTGGGGGCAGTCGTCGCGATTGGGAAGGGTTGGAAGAAAAAAAAATACGTACAGTTTTAATGCCGCTGTCATTGGCTCCGTTTCACACACAGATGTCGTACAGATGCCTTTTAACACAAACTTACTGCGGTATATGGTAATATTTGAATATAACAGCAGGAAAATGTTATATTCGCCACACCTGGTCACATAACAAAAGCCAATATTGTAACCTGAAACTGTGAAACCTTGTCACTTGGATTAACACAGACATTACATCACCGCTTGCATAAATATGCGAATGTCTATGTGTAAGTGGTAGCGATGCATACAAATGCATACGTAGTTCAGTCATGCTGTTTATTATTATCATTAGATTACTCACATAGACAACTGCTCTCATTAAAGAAAATGCAACCAGAGAGCCACGGGGTCATTAAGATTAACACCCCCCCACACACTCGAGGGTGAATTGCGAACAGCATAGCTGCATGGCTCGGAAGCAATATGAAGTGTTGTGTGTCATGTGCTGTGTGGCACTGCGATTTGAAGCACCCGAGCTTGCAACCAGTGGGGGTATTAACTCACCCTATCTTGCCTCCAGAGTGAGTACAATATGAACCATTTTACTGATGTAGGCAGCAATGGTCATCCGGTGGAGAGAATAGCCCCCTAAGTCAGGAATGGGGAAAGGCCGCCGCTGGCTCAGGACTGCCCCATGTCTCCTCGGACACGTGGAAATGCTTCTTCTGGTGTCTGCCTGGAATTATCTGTGAAAAGCTAAACTTGAATGTCAAGGTGCCATGAGCCACGCCACGGCTTCGGGTGGCGGTGCCGTTGATGAAATTGAGGTTTTATTGAAGTGTCGCTGTGGGCGACTGATGATGATGGGTTCCATTATTTTATTACCGTCTCCCCAGTGTTTGGGAGACAGCAGCACTAATTGTAAGAGGGGTCGCAACCACCGCCGTTGGGAAGATTGAGTCGGCGAGTGGATAGGTTGGGGCATCGCCTTGTGCTCGCTAATCACCACGATGAGAGGATTGCACTAGAATAGAAGTGATTACATTATATCGCAATCTGTTATGGACAACATTGCCCACACTCTAAAGCAGAGTTTTGTAAATCCCAGAGCTGAGTGATGCATGAGAACTTGTACCAGCCAAAATGAGAGGTTAGCCTTCCCCTCCAGTTCCGATGACGTCTTTTTGACCTCTCTGTTTGCCTACCAAGTTCTGCCCACCGTTGGCAGGGGTCGTGACGACTGTGTAGCGGACTCTGGGTTTCCGTGTACTGATTCACAGCCACTCGTTTAAATCAAAGTCCCCAATCGCCAACCGAGTTCTTGTCGAGCGGTGACCAGAATCGTAGGCCACGACCGAGTTCGGTGAGCAGTCAGTGTTTAAGAGCCATTCGGCTCTTAAATCGGGTGCAACCGCAACAAACAAAAACATGAACAAGAAAACATCTTAAAGTGACCACGCAAACAGAAGAATCCAGGAAAAAACAGCAAAGTCTTCCAGAAAAAGCACCGCATATCAACGCTATGTGCAAAAATCCCAGTGGGATGCAAGTCAAACAATAACAACCATAAGACAATTTAGATTCAAAGTCACGGAACGTGGTGGGGGAATTGTATTTGTTCGTCGCTGTTCGTGTGAGAGGGAGCTCGACCACGGCGATGACCCTGACTGGGCTTTGAAGGTCACCGGACCTGCAGCGACGAAGATCGGCAAAGTGATGCTCTGACGGCAATGCTGCGGTGTTTGATATCGACGAGTTGAACGGATCATCTGGTGACGCTGCTGCATTGGCGAGCGGTGCACGCGCACAAGCAACATATAGATACTGACAGTAGCCTTTAAGGCAGCGTTGTTGACGAGTGTGTTGAGCTATTTGATATTAACACGGGGGGGGGGGGGGCGGTTATATGTAGCATATTCTCCATCACAGTTGACTCGCGACGGCCTGGTTGTAAACTAAACGTAGCTGCTAAGCCACAAGCAATGTCTTGTCATTCTCCACCGAGTTCGTCGTTTTATTATTATGCTCTTATACAAAGTAAGCGAAGAAGGGAAAACACCTCGCCGTTTAAGTTATTTTCCAGGAAACATTGCAGTATTTAGTGTTTGTGTGTACAGCGTTTATGGGTATTATCAAGCATTAATTTTGCTCGCGTTCAGGCTTAGAGTTGGTGCACTTCTGATTTTGGCATATTTGATCAATGTGCTTGACTGAAGATATATGATCTAATCCCTGTTTAGCTCCTCCGTTGTAATTAATTATCATGATCATAAACTATGTGGAAATGCCTCTACGTTAAATAATAATAATGCAAAAAGCAAGTGGAGTATTGTGGTGACATTTAGTTCTGGAAAGTGCGTTACTTTTAAATAATATATCAGAGTGTGGGCAGATAATGTATGGTACGCCAAATAATATCGTTGTTTTAACACAAATATAATATAGCTGGATTATATTCTCGTTTCAGTTTTAATATGCTAGTGTCTAAACGTGAATGATTTTCGGATTGTAAAATGTTGTAGCATTGCTCATATGTGTTGTTTTGTATAGCGACTATTTAAAATTGACGCGTAGTAGAATTTTTACGATAACAGGTACAGTTGTATAAATTAATTATGTTTTTTTGTGTGTACAATTTTCTTTTTTCCCGTGATGTAGAATTAAGAATGTTTTTTAACTGCACCGGTGAATGGGGGACAGGGGTTGACTGAGGGGGGGGCCGTCTTCTCTTGAGAGAAATCCGCTTTTATCGTCACGGTACTTTACATCAACAATGGCAGCGCCGTGCGTCTGCGAGCACTATTGGGAAGGACGGGGAGTTATATACTCGTGAAAGTAATAATGACAGTGTTGAAATATCACCGGTGGATACTTTTTGGGAAAGAGCACTCCTCCCGCATTGCAATGTAGCAGCATCACGCTCGCGATCTTAAAATAGAGGCCATTAGAGTGACCCAAAACTGATGTATCATCTATTATTCAGAAACGTAATAAAACTTACACATGACTGTGTGAACTGTTGCGCTCTGCTTTTTTCCCCTCCCCGCGTTCGCTGTCACGAAGCACTCCTCTTTGTTGACGGGGCCAGCGCAAGGCTGCAGAGCAGAGAACATTGTTTTTCCTGAGTCCAAAGCAAAATCATCTCGAGCCAGGGTTTGCGACTCAAGTCAGTCGCCTGCACAACTCAAAGCTCTTAAACCCAAAATGACCACACGCACATCAATGAATGGCTGCTGTGGAATCTTTGACCCGTGGCACACTATGGAAAGGTGGAGTTAAGACCGATAAAGAAGTCGTTGCTTCTAGATTTGAAGCTTTCGTGACTGCAAGGATTCATATTCTTAGGTTTTTTCGGTAAAGTCACGTAGGTAAAACATTAAAATTAATAAAAAATAAAATAAAACTTCACGACGTTTCGGAGGCAACACAAGCTTCCGTCTTCAGGTGGAACCGTCACAGCCACGACAGCTGTATCAAGTAAATGAGAGATTGCAAGAGCTACCACTCCGTATATATATAATGGTAGGAGAGGGGGGAAGGGCCAAGTACGGCACACTTTTTATTCATATGGTAAGGTGAGGCTTAAGAGGGTGAGCCTTTGTTATGGAGAGGTACGGTTTGTGACTAAGCTTGGCCTACATAACAATAGTGTGAAAAAGAAACAACTTAACATGGTAAAACAAGCCTGGCTGTCTATCAATAACCTGTAATAGCTGTCTGTCAAATAAGATTGGCCAAATAAGTGTAGTTAAATATTTTTTGCATGGTTAATCACATCTTTCCAATGATTACTCAGTTTGTAACCATCATCACGGTTGAAATTATTTCTGTGTTTGTATATTTGTATGGCTTCGTGTACAAACCTTTGATGGTAGCCAGGAGGTTTGCAGATAACCTTGGTCTCGGAAAAGACAATTCCATGAGAGCCCACCGAGTTGTAGCAATGATCGGCAACAGCCGAAGAATCAGTTCTGCCGTGTTTCAGATCTGACTTGTGCTCGCAGACACGATCAGAAACATGACGTTTCGTTTCTCCAATGTAGCAATCACCACAACTGCAACTCAGTTTGTAGACTCCAGGATACTGTAAGTCAGGAACGACATCCTTCACAGATGGAATCAGATCACGGATTTTATGCACTGTACTGAATCGGACTTGGATCTTATGTTTGTTTAGAATTTTGGAGATCTTTCTGGTCACGCCTGCTATGTATGGCCACATGAAACTCCGACCAAAACTATCACGTTACCATACATAGCAGGCGTGACCAAAAAGATCTCCAAAATTCTAAACAAACATAAGATCCAAGTCCGATTCAGTACAGTGCATAAAATCCGTGATCTGATTCCATCTGTGAAGGATGTCGTTCCTGACTTACAGTATCCTGGAGTCTACAAATTGAGTTGCATTTGTGGTGATTGCTACATTGGAGAAACGAAACGTCATGTTTCTTATCGTGTCCGCGAGCACAAGTCAGATCTGAAACGCGGCAGAACTGATTCTTCGGCAGTTGCCGATCATTGCTACAACTCGGTGGGCTCTCATGAAATTGTCTTTTCCGAGACCAAGGTTATCTGCAAACCTCCTGGCTACCATCAAAGGTTTGTACACGAAGCCATACAAATATACAAACACAGACATAATTTCAACCGTGATGATGGTTACAAACTGAGTAATCATTGAAAAGATGTGATTAACCATGCAAAAAAGATTTCACTACACTTATTTGGCCAATCTTATTTGACAGACAACTATTACAGGTTATTGATAGACAGCCAGGCTTGTTTTACCATGTTTAGTTGTTTCTTTTTTCACACTATTGTTATGTAGGCCAGGCTTAGTCACAAACCGTACCTCTCCATAACAAAGGCTCACCCTCATAAGCTTCACCTTACCATATGAATAAAAAGTGTGCCGTACTTGGCCCTTCCCCCCTCTCCAACCATTATATATACGGAGTGGTAGCTCTTGCAATCTCTCATTTACTTGATACAGCTGTCGTGGCTGTGACGGTTCCACCTGAAGACGGAAGCTTGTGTTGCCTCCGAAACGTCGTGATTTTTATTTTATTTTACTTTATTAATTTTAATGTTTTACCTACGTGACTTTACCGAAAAAACCTAAGAATATGAAGTCCTTGCTTGTTGCAGAGCTTCGCCGTTCGAATCGAGTGGTCGCCCTGGTTAATACTGCAGGTTTATTAACCAAAAATATTCCACTCCATCTGCCTCAAAGCTGACGTTTAAAGATCCCATGACGTTATTCGGAAGAGTAGGCCATGGCCCAAATAAAAAAAAAAGGATTTGCAAATTGCTCAGTTTGTTTATGCGCAGAAAATCGTCGCTCCTTGCTGAGGAAACTCGCCAGGACCCTCCTGAGACTAAGTGAGGCTTCTACGTGGCACCATCCTCCCGAGTTGCTTACTACTCTTAGGACTGCATCGTCGAGGAGGGAAAGGTCTAATGGGGGGGGGGGGGGGGGGGGGAGAAAACATCACAAATACTGCATTGCAGTGCCATTACACCACGGCGCCACATTACTGAATATTCCCTGATGTGTAAGTGGTAGGAAACTGAATAAATGATGGGGCACTGTAATTGAGCTCATCGTCTGACAAGTGCGGGTCACACGTGGTGTGGCTACGCTGCTGTCACGGTGCGTGCTTCTTCATCTTAGTCCGGGATTCTTTACGGCGCTGATTAAGTGGACTATGGTCACGAGGAGTGTGCGTGAGTTATTGTGTTTCAGTTTAACACGAGGACGTTCGCGACCAGTATTATTCATAATGAAGGTTTTTGGGTTAGATCGCGTTATTATGAATGTGTCACAACCCTCCAACACTCAGTATAAAATGTGTCGCGCAAACACTGAGACGGGGGGGGGGGGAGGGGACACTGAGACGGGGGGGGCTGAGACAGGGGGGGGGACACTGAGACGGGGGGGGGGGCTGAGACGGGGAGGGGGACACTGAGACAGGGGGGGGGCTGAGACGGGGGGGGGGCAATGAGACGGGGGGGGGGACACTGAGACAGGGGGGGGGGGACACACTGAGACAGGGAGGGGGGGCACTGAGACAGGGGGGGGGGGCACTGTGTATCGTTGAAGTTGCAGACCCACAACCCACAAGTCACACAAAGTCTCGCGGAATCGTTAAATTTATTTATTTCTTCCACAATCCATTTGATGTCACTACTCATATTTCACCACTTTCCACAACCATTTAAGTAAAGTACAGTACCGGTGTTTATTACACACACAGCTCGCACGAACTGGGATTACATATCTCTCCACTGGCTGTCACACACAGTTAATTACAGCCTCGTTCACGAGCTTCGTTTAAATGCCATCGTTAACGCAACGTTGTGCTTTTACACTTAATTAGTGTCAGTGACCTCGTGTTTTTGCCTTGGGTAGGAATGGGCGATCGCATAAGGAGCGATCAGAGTCAAGATCTTTTGATTTAAAGCTTTCGTGACTGCAGGGATTCATATTCTTGGTTCTTTCAGTAAAGTCACATAGAAGGGAAATAATAAAATGATAATAAATATATTTATTCCCTTCTACGTGACTTGACCGAAAGAACCAAGAATAATAAGAAATGTTACTTTGGCATTTCCCTTGAAAATTATTGTTTATAACGATACCCCCCCCCCCCCCATGCATGTGTTAGCGTAAATATAAATGTGTCGTTAAACCCGCCACCGTCCGACACAGCCAATTTAGTGAGGTTTGTCACGTAAACAGAACACGCCAATTCGTTACTAGTACAGCACACCGGTGTGTTGGAGAGCAAATCCACAACGTTTACAATCTGAGTACCACGTTTCACCAGTAATTACAACTAGATTCATCAGGCGACATGTTCTGTTCACGTGACAAACCTTACTGAATTGGCTGCGTCGGGTGGTAGCGGGCTTAACGACACATTTATATTCACGCAATCTAACCCCAAGAAAAAACCTCTATTATAGATGACGACCTATTTACCGCTTGACATCAGCCGCTCCCAGGCGTCTGTGGTGCGATTCCCGGTGCTGACGCTTCGAACCCTGCGAGTCACTGCCGGGGCTGACAAGAATGCAAATGTGGAAGGTCAGCAGGGTGCTTCGATTCAAAAGGACACCCGTGCGAATCAGAGGCGCCAAGGAGCTTGCAATGACACGGACCGATGTTTTACTTGATCGTTGGTTGAAACGCATTGTTGCGTAATTGCTTAACACGTAAAAAGGGGCACAATGTGCGTGGTGGTTTAGGCTGTCGATCTGCCACCAACGGTTAGAAAACAGCATTTGTGGAAACATTATTTTGGCGATCCAACTCGTGGCATTAGCGGGGGCACACAAGGACAGAGAACAAAAAAAACGCAACACATTCGTCAATAACACTGTGTGGCCTTCAAAAGAAAAAATATATAATAGGCGACGTTTCGGGCAATGACCCTTCTGAATAGCGTCATTTAGCTGTAAAGGATTGTCCAGATGTCTTGTGACTCCCATTTAATTCTCTAAAACGTAATATTTTTGTAAGTGCATTTTATTTAAAACAGAAAATATATATGCGAATGAAAAAACAGTTAGAGGTCAATAAAGTTGGGGTCACACGACACCTGGACCACCCTGCAGACCAGGCTTCTTCACTCGTTTTCAGAGGGGGGGCCACTTTCACCAATGAGACATCGTCAGTGTGAGGGCCGCCACACATGTAAAACCATTGGGGCTTTGACAGCAGCACAATGATGATGATGATGGGGGGTGTTTTCACTTTTGTGTATTTTAGGGGGCCGCACGTCAGGGGCCGCACTAAAGGCCACCAGGGGAAGCCAGTGGCACCGCGGGTCTTGCTAATGAAGAACGCTGCTGAAGATTGCAAGGCAGTCGGTGCACGCATGTTCAGCTGTGCATCGTGAAGCATGTAGGGCGGTAAAGAGGTGGATATTATACAGTACGTGATGATCCTGCAGCACCGCAGCGTTCTGCATGTGGCAGCACGCACATGGGAAAGAGCACGGGCAGTGAGTGGCGAGCCAATTTGGCTGCTTTAAATGTCCACGTGATTATAATCTACTTCGTTGAGCTATCATTTGTGGCCAGACCGCCACAGAAAAAGAAGGGGACTTCACCTGGTAAAATCAAAATAGTTAAGTTGAATTTTTTCGTGTGATTGTTTAACTTTCCTATACTTTGCACTGCTATCGTATTTATGTCTTTTTTTCGTAACGTTCTGACCCGCCCCTACTGGAAATCTGTGAAAGAGAGCTTCAGAGTTCATCGGATTCCTCCAGGATAAATAAATATTCTGATTCTGAATTAGCACTATGCATGGAGTCTTTCTGCACACACACTCTGAAATTGATAACAATGTCTGCACTCGTGTTGCACACCGAGTTTACAACTTCTGTTGGCTCTTATCGTCCCTCTGGCGGAGAAGGCATCGCAACATCTCAAGACAATATTTATCAGTGGCAATTGGATCGGTTCAGTACCAAAAATCAGGCCCTGCTCTGGAACGCTGGCTAAAATATGCCCGAGTGCACAGAATGCTGTTGGAAAGATGAGGTTGTCAAATTCAATTGTCAGTGGCACCTGTGAGAGGCCTTGGGGCAGAATGGTCCCTGTATCCTGGAAATCGATGGCCCAGCGTCTTCTTCAGTGCCCATCTGCCCTTCTCTGGCTGAGACCAAACAAGATAAGAAATTCAACGAGCACATTAATACACGGGTGCATCCGCGAACAGTTTGGGGCATTGCTGAAATCGGCGTGCCCTCGCGTGCGATTGAGAATGCTTGGGTACAGTGGCTCGGAGCAGCAGTGAGTGGAAAGGTTTGTGCCACGTCTTAAGGGCGATCATATTTTTTTAATGTGGTGGCAGCATCCTCGGGTCCATGGGCTGAGTTCCCACTCCTGCATGGAAAAGTGGGTTTGGTGGTGGGGGTCTCATCTCCCCTGACCGACTAATCTAATCCTTTTTTTTTGTAATTATATCAGGAAAAACAACATTGAGGCAATCTACTCAGATATAATGTGATTGCTATAACACAGAAGATTGTATGTCTATTTTAAGTGGCTTCCGGTCTCTCTGTCTTTTCGTCTTTGCATCTCTAAATCTCTCTGGCTATCTATTTGGTTTGTCTCAGTGTATAGCGCTCTCTCCCTCTCTGTCACTCCCAATCTGCTAAGCCCCCGCTCAGTGGTAAGTTCTGAGCCTGGGGATTCACAAGCAATTCCAACATAATTACCATACTCACCATCGCCATGAAAACCATCGCCAATACCACCACCACCACAACTATAATCATTCCAACACCATTTTAATCACCACCATTGCCACCACAACAACTAAAACCACCATTATCATCCCCACCACCACCAGAACACAAAGATCTCCCGTATAGCCTTAACAGACGGTTGGGGCAAGTGCTGTTACCGAGCAACTATGAAGGCCAGCAAGGCACACGAGGTGGGTGGCCAGCACCACAAACGGACGCCTTTGTCTCCCGAGTGGCGATGTTTACAAACTGCTACAGGTACTCATTTGAGGTAGAGTCGACCGAGGGGAGGCCCAGAACCAATTCAGATTATCGTCAGTAGTGTTGGCCACGAGCGGGAATCGAACTCAGGTCCCTGAGTTCATAGCGCAATGCACGAACTGCTACACTACCGCTCCCCAGAACACAACCACCACCATCATGACCTCTAGGCTCAGCTCCACTGCACCACAGGCACGATTGCGCAATTCAATCAAGTGCTCACCTGGTCATGAGTGCCAGACAGCGTAGGTTCATCCGTGGAAGTCACGTGATCTTTAACAGCATCTGCAAATTTTAAATGCATTTTTTCTGTTGCTGGCGTCATCTGCAGAAAAATAATAAACAGAGGTCAGAGCATCTCGCTGTAGCCATGAGCAGAAATGCCAGAGATTGGTAAAATGCTGAAAAGGTTTATTTGATCGTTTATAATCAATATGTAATGTAAAAGCATGTAATTAAATCGATTTTGTTGGGTTAGGCCACAGAATGAACTGGCCATATTTGTGTCGTAAGATTCTCTACCACTCGACACAGCCATACAAATGAATTGTCACGTGGGTAAACCGTTAACACACCAATTATGATTGTTTCAGCTCACTGGTAAGTTGAATAACGATTCTGACAAATTTAGAAAGTTATTCTGACTTCTTGAATTCTGTCATGAAGATCCTTCGGCAAGCTTCAAGTAAAACGCCACGTGTCTAATTTTTAAATGAATTTGTGAGAATTTTGTTCTAACTCAGCGTTGATCAAGCTGAAATAATAACGATTGGTACATTGTTGAACGCCTGTGCACCACGTGACAATTTAACTAATCGCGCTATGTCGGGTCCTGGAGGGAGGGTTCTTACCAAAACACATCAGGCCAGATAATTAAGTGGCCTAACCCCCCCAGAAAAACCTCTATTGTGAATCGCTACCATTGGCTGCAAAAGCAAAAGTGTTGCACAAATGACAATGTTGCAAATGAGTCTGGCAGAGCAACGCAGAAACCACCTGCCGGGAGACCAGAGCGGTGGCGCCGTCGGAGGCTTCGGCGGAGGGTGTCGTGGGCGTCTCCTGGGCGGGCGTCGCGTGAACAGCGGCGGCGCTGCGAGGGCACGTCCGGCGGGCTGCCTGGGAGGACGCTCGCAAACTCCTGTGGCTCGTCGGGCGGCTCGGGAACATCGGAGCGGTCGTGGGCCTCGACGTCCGGAGCGAGTCGCGCGTGCGCGCCCCGCGCAGCTGGGGACAAGCGGCCAGCGGTTGGGTCAACCCAAGGGGGGTCGGCAACCCGAAATTACAAACAACTCAATATTTCAAGTGCCGCAATGCGCTATGGTAAATGCCAGACAGTGGTCCGTTAATAGATCGTGTCGCGAAGCAGCGGTCCTCCAAGAGCCGCCACACGCGAGCCCTGGGTGAACGGCTCGTGCCGGCCAAGGGGGCTCAGCTTTACGTGCGGACAAAGAATAATTAAACCCCATTGCCTTTGTAGGATGAATTATTGCTTTGAAGAGGTTAATGATTTTATTCAAAACTAAAAGAGGAATACATCTGTTTTTTACGTGGAGAGATGGATATATGAAGTAGATGTATTTACGTCTGGGATGTGACCTAATGGACTAATTTCTGTAATGATAACCTTTATCTTGATAATTGGTTCTTTACCCTTCTATCTGGCAACAAAACTGACACCTTTTTACAAGGAGTCATGTTTGCATAGACCGCAATACCTGCAGTCATAATACAAACAAAAGAACATAACTCTGATAATGTGCACTGTCCTTGAAGTTATCAGAGTTATGTTCTTTTATTTGTATTATGACTGCAGGTATTGCGGTCTATGCAAACATGACTCCTTGTAAAAAGGTGTCAGTTTTGTTGCCAGATAGAAGGGTAAAGAACCAATTATCATATTTTTACTGGCAAATGAGGTTCCCATAGTGTAGAAACTTTATCTTGTTTGTGCTTTTTTTTTGTGCTATTTCTTTATTTATGTTATTCATTTTAATTTTTCTTGCTAGTAGTAGTAGGGTTTTCATTTGTTTGGTAATGGCTGTATATGGGATTTGGTCCCCTTATACATAATTAATGTACAGCGTTATGGGATGCTATTCGCAGAAATTACGCTCCATGAAATGAAAGTGCTATTCTACTTCGGATTACTTATTTTGTAATTTGTACTGTCCAAAACGGCACGAATGATTATTATGCATTTTGATAGAAATTTGCGTCGAACTAAGGACCCCAAAGTGTCAAGCGAGGAGGGTCCTTGCCTGCACGATCGGCAGTTCTCTGCATCGATTCAAGTGCGGCTGGCTCTGCTGATGAAACACTGCATGTCGAGTTTGCTTGGATTGAATGAACGCCGCTGAAATTACGCATTCCCAGAAGGCTGTGCAGATGATGGGTTGTGTAGGATATACGTTTTATTAACGTGGAGAGAAGGGGCAATGTGAAGGAGATACATTGTCTGCTTATTTAGTTTGGTATTTAGATTTTCCACAACCATGCCAATGCTTAATTTGAGTTAATTAAAATAATGGCAATTATTTGGCTCAGTTTGTCAATAAACAAAATCCCTTAGGGTTATAATGAATAAACAGCAGGATAAATTAAGAACTGGATTAATTGTGGGTGCTAAAGAAGTGCAACGTACATACATATTGTATATAGTTGGTGGCTGGTAAAGCGTGACTAGCTACCTGAATAGCAGAGAGTTGCAGTTGTTGCTTCAGCATCTGGTGATGCGATTTCTCAGCCTCCATCTAGCGTTAAGTTTCACAGGAAACAAAAAAGTGACACCTTCAATAAATGACATAAACCAAAACGCGACCAAATCTGAAATAACATCGCTTACAAATGGTGCAGCCGTGGGATTACTTGCTTACGCCAGGCCTGGTGGAAGGGCCTTCGCCGAAGTATGTTGGCCTACTCTTCCATGCTGGCCAGACGTCTTGGAAAGCTGGGAGCGCAAGCACTTTACCTCAACCACAAGCCACCTGCCAATCGGCGACCTGTGATGCACCCACTTAGATTGTTGGGAGGACAGAAGATTCATGAAGCGTTGCGCCAAACTTGTGACCTCTTGCGGCAGCAGTTTGCATGAACTGCTCTCGCTGCCGTACACAGCACGGAGGGGGGCGGGGGGGGGGGACCACGGAGGGTGATCACGGGGTGATGGGCGACCACGGGGAGTGGCGCCGTTGCTTTAAGCGTCGTACTCCGCTTCGAACGTCGACCACCAGCTGAAGTTTCGCAAATCGCTGCTGGAGTTTGCGCATCAAGATGGAGAACCGTGTCCACAGAGTGACAGAGCCGACTCTCTCCAACTGAGCTCTCGATCGCTAGGGGACAGATGCTGGCGGTGACGTTTCTGACGAAGTCGAGCCATTGGATGCCACGGAGGCATCTTTGGCATCGCGTATGGAAGGACTGCAACCAATCCAAATCGGCTTGAAGCAATGTCCAGGCGTCCGCACCACCGTACAACGACAACACCGACACAGCACAGCACTGATAGACTCTCCATTTGACACCCAGAAGAAGGGGATGGGAAACCTAAGAAAGTTGCGCCATTTTTTTTATGATCTACGACTTCTGGATTGCAAGTCCACTGTGCTAAGCGTCACACCATGGCAGCATACCAAAGTATGGTTATTAAAAATGTACATGCCACCAGTAATTGTGCCATTCATGTCTGTGCTCGAGTAGACTGACCTCACTCAGATGTTAGGCTTCAAATTGTTATTTCAGTTGTCCGGTAGGTTCTGATTATTTTCACAAGCATATGGCATTATGAGCCAGAGGAATTTTTTTTTCAATATTATGTTGAGGCTATGCAGGCATGTGTTTTCCAAGAACTATTCCTATAATTTATTAACTGCCACAAAGTCTTGCTTTGTTTAAATACTCCATCATTTAGTGTGTATTCTTTGGGGCTTCTGTGTGTTGTTCTATGATTCATATTCATCATCATCAGGACTAGAATAGGCTTCAGTGCCGACTGAGGGTCCTCTGTTGTCACTCGTGATGGATGACTTCAAGATGATTGTCCATGCGACAATTTTCTATCTTGTGGGAGAGGAATGAAATATGATCATTGAAAAGTCAAAGCATTTTAAATGATGAATTTCATACTTAGACTTTCATGATTAATCTCATTATTCATAATTCATTAGGGTTAGATCGTCCTGTGGGCATAATTTAAATGTTTTGCTACAATCCTCCATCACCCGAAAGAGTCAATCAAATCAAGTTGTCACGTGGACAAATATGCCAATTGTTGAAAAGCAAAACTTTGAAAATGATATAGTTAAAATTGTCCACAGCACTTGCCCCGACAATCTGTTCAAGGCTATATGGGGGATCTTTGTATGCGTCTGTATTAATAAGTGGGACTTGACAGTCCGGGTTATCACAGTAAGCGCAGTAGTTAATAGGAAGCTTTGAGCTGGTGACAGCACCTGCTACTCACGTGAAGGCGATGTGACCTGAATAGCAGCAGCCTCATCAAATTAAGGAAAGTAGATGCGGTGAAATTCCACATTAAGGGTAGTTTGTAAATGTATTTTATATCTTCCTTCGTGATTATGGTTTTGCACTTTTTTCAATTTCGTATGTTGTGTTTTTTCTCTCCAATTTCTCTTTGATGGTTTGTACTCTTGATTTCTAATTGCTTCATATTCGTACTTCGTTTCATGCTGTTTGCTTGGCCCCGTCACTTTTGCAAAAGAGACGTCCCTTGACACTCTTGAGTTCTCAGCTGCGTTGCGCAAAATAAACTTGAAAACTCAACACATTGTTGATGCCTTTAACAGAAATAATAATGATTTACACTTCTATGCAACTGGGCCGAGACATATCTATGCCACCGTGGCAAGATGTTAACTATTTTGCCTGTTATACAGGAGGTCGTGGGCTCGATTCCAACCCTGATGCCTGGTGTATATTTGAAGTTGCATTTTCTCCCCGTGGTAGTGTGGATTTTTAATTCAGGTCCTCCGGTTTTCCTTCCACATTTAGAATCAACATGCGTTTAGAGTATTTGGCTGCTATAAAACGATTCTTTTTATTTTACTGGGTAAGGCCCACTGAGCGATTGAGCTCTCATTCAGAAGTGACCTGGCCACAATGATAGCTCCAAAAAGTGGCTTATCATGTGGTAATTCATATCAACCAAATATTTTCTAGCATGTTTCTAAATGCGTAGGGAAAACCCGGAGAACCCGGAGAAAAATCCACACGGCCACGGGGGGAAATTGCAAACTCCAAATATACAGCAGGCATCAGGGTCGGGATCGAACCTGCGACCTCATTCATACCAGGCGAGGTAGCTGACATCTCCCCTAAATTTCCACGTGATAAGCCACTTCAATGATCTCTAATTTGCGATAGCCAGATCTCTTTTGAAAAAGAGCTTTACAACTCAGTGGGGCATTACCTGATAAAATAAAAATAAAAGATATTGGTTTTTTTTTTCTTCTCGTCACACCTGCTGCTTCCATGGCTCGTCTGCCCCGCCGAAGGTCTTGACAGCGGCGCTTCCACCACGCTGCTCGCGCTGGGCTCGCTGCTCCTGCCGGTACAGCTTGTTCATGTGCTGCAGTCGCTTGGCGTCGAGGGTCATCAGCAGGGCCTTCATGTCGTCTAGCTGTACAGGGGACAACACAACCACGTAGACACGCGGCATGTGTTTCACGTTGATGTTCGTGCATAACGGAATGTTGAAATTTTAGTCCCAATTTTTGTATATTTTTAATTCACATGTAATAATAAAAATTCACTTTCAACACACCGTAGACACGCGGCACGTGTTTCACGTTGATGTTCGTGCATAACGAAATGTTGAAATTTTAGTCCCAATTTTTGTATTCACATGTAATAATAAAAAAAATCTATTTCAACACACCGTAGACACGTGCCACGAGTTTCACGTTACATCTTGTTGAGTTACGAAGTGTAGGAAGTTTAGCCCCTATTTTTTAATTCAACCATTAATAACTGCATCATACGCGTTTGAACATATAAAGTTCCAAGAGTGAAACAATAATTTTAATGTGAACATTGTTCGTGTTCTCATCATTTAAACGAAAGTGGCGTCTTTGTGACGGAACTTTTTGGTGGTAAAAGCACTGTCATGAAAGTGACATCACTTCCTGTTACATCTCAATTCGGATCAATCTGAAACATATATTCTTTGAAACATCCAAAATTTTAATCTGGGCCTGGTTTTTTGGGATTGTGTTGGATTCATCTGGAAATTGGAAGCTCATCTCTAGCATCCACTATCGCTGACTGCAGCCAGAATTATTAGCCTTTCGTAAGAATTGGCATTTTCCTATAACGCGGTAGTTTGAGTTCCTAAAGAACACCGCGCTATGGAAAAATCGCGTTATAATAAATAATATATAATAGAGGGTAAAGCCATGCCTGTAAAGCCACCCTTTACTTTTCATATCCAGTTTGTTATTTCTGCGAACGCCACTTCTCACCCGTAAAAAGACTAAACTGGCGAAGAGGAACACTTTTCTGTCAAACAATTTGTTTATGGCATCAGTTCTGCAAACTGTCGCATCGGCAGATCTTTGAGACGGCCAAATAAGCCCCACTCACCTGAGAGCCTGCTGGGCTGCATTGGAGCCATCTGTGAAAAGTGCACTTAGCACTCACAGCCTTTGGGAGTCGGTTGTTGGCTTTTAAAAACATTATACTAACAGCGTATAAAACCTGATTATATATATGCGTGTGTGTGAACTATTTTTGGGTAACAATATGAATGCAATGCACAACTCTTCTTTATGTTATACTTAACATAGTGGCAGGATTCCCTGACATGCATTGCCTTTAAACGTTGTGAGTCTAACATTGGAAATAAAACAGTTGTGTTAAGATGTTAAACCACAAAACAAAATCCTTACTCAAGGAATCCTGTCTGGATTAACCACACGTACTTGTGATGAACATGCTCTGATAATATATGCATTGTCTTTGAAACTGATTGGTCCACACCAGAGACAGCTTTTGAGCCAAGTATCAAAGTGTTAGACCAGAGAACGCCAAAAGCAATGTACACTTAGTTCGCCGAACCTCACAAAGGTCGTGAAATGAGATGGTTCTTGGTGAGAGGCGTTCAACTGCTCGTGAAATGAGATGGTTCTTGGTGAGAGGGGTTCAACTGTTCGTGAAATGAGATGGTTCTTGGTGAGAGGCGTTCAACTGCTTGTGAAATGAGATGGTTCTTGGTGAGAGGGGTTCAACTGCTCGTGAAATGAGATGGTTCTTGGTGAGAGGCGTTCAACTGCTTGTGAAATGAGATGGTTCTTGGTGAGAGGGGTTCAACTGCTCGTGAAAGCGCCCGTGGCGTATTGGCCACACGTTCGCTTTGCTCGACATCGATTCTCACCTCGTAAATCCCTCTGAAGCTTTTTTCCGTGGTTCCAACCCTCGCTTCGTGCAGGTGAATGGTGTCCAAAGCCACGCAGCTACGCACAAAGAGACACCCGTTGTGAGTGAGGCAGCACTGCCGGGCGTGATCCCGCAGGCAGACAGCAATTTGCTCCAGCCAGGGACAACTCCAAGACTGAGCAACACAACTAATGGGGCGCACGCGCTGACGATTATAACAGAGCAATTTCCTGCATAACCACGGCGCCTAGCATCGCTTGCTAATACCCCGTAGGTACAAATGTACATTTAGCAGTAGCACTGCAAAAACGTTTACCCAATGAACACTTCAATGTCGGCCAAATGTTGGCATGTGGTTGGAACCGTTGGGCAACACGTTTGACTAACGTTGGTTCAACGTTCCGTGTTTACTAGGTACACAGTTAAATTAGAATGATGCAATGACATAGAATCATTGTGTAAGACGTGCTATTTTCACTATACGTTCTTTGAAATATTCAACGACGCCACGCGTTGCTGTTATACCAACACGAACGTGAAGGAAGCAACATATTAAGCAAGATCCTAACTATACTCAAATGTTGAAAAAAAGTACTACTACCTTATAAGTAAAAAAAGAAAGCTATATAAAATATCTGACAATCTGGCCAGTAGCCCTTTATTCATAGCAAAACAACAAATAATTAATTGAAATGTGGGCGGTGTGACACCATGGTTATTCGCAATTGAAAATATCTCACAGAGGCAGGAGGTCCATGAATTCGTACATCTGGATTCTGCCGGGTTCCACGTATCCTTCGCTTTGCTTGCTGTGGATGTGCTGCATTAACCGCCGTGGCGCTGTGATCCGTCCGCACATCTGTAAGAGCAGCAGCAGCAGCGCACACAGCGCTGAGGATATGCAGCGGCACTTCCTGTAAACTTTTCTCAGTCGGTGTTAGCCACTGAGGCCATGACGGGTTCATGTTTTTATTCCTGTTGCTCTGTGCCCCCCCCCCCCCCCTGTACCATTCCCGTTTTGCTGTGATGTACACTGATGTCTGCTTCATTGAGGGAGATATTGGCACGTCAAATAACGATTGATTGATTCTTCTTTTTCTTGTCGTATGGCTGCAGGTGTAGATGCAGAGCGACATCTTACAGGTTCACATTGAGTTGGGTCAAGCCAGGTAAATGCATCAGGGCTGTGTCATCGCCGTGATGTCTCCTTCGTATTTGTGGATCGGGGCATTGTATCGTTATACGGTGTTACGGTCTGTTCTGGATGACCACAGTCACACACTACGTGGAGAGAGTTTTTAATTTACCATTTGTACATCAGGGTAATCCGCATCGACTGCCATGGTTTGTGCAGTGGATGCGGTTTAGGGTGGACCGTTGACTGATTGATTTTGTGGACATTTGAACCGGTGGTTGTAGATGCTGTTGCACCGGCAGCATCGCATGATGTCATTTTGTGCTCAACTGTGCGCAGAGTGCTCTTGATTGTCACTGATTTCCTGTTCAAAATACATCTTCCCTCAGGCATTTTGCATGTTCCTAGTATGCATCCAAGGGCTTGGTAAACGAGCCTCTAGTTTTGAGAGTGATGTTCTCATAGACAATACGAAACAAAGACAATAACAAGGGCACATTTCTCTGCGACTCTGAAATGAGCGTACGGACGTGCATCACAGAGCACACTGATACCTGGGACAATCTGGAACCGTCTCTGCCAACTGATGTCTGCTAAGCTCTGACAATCGCTACTTTTAAGACCGGACTGAATACATGAACTTTTTTTCTTTCTTCTGCTGAGTTTAATTTGAGTGAATATTTATCCTCAGCGCCATCTGCGTTTCCGTCTAAGCTCGTTGCTGAATATGGCCGCGCTTAACACATCTTTGATTTATTTATCGATACCACCTCCTCGTACTTTTTCAAACACTTCTGCAAACATGTCACATTTCCGCTACAAATCCTATTAAAGTTTTGTACTTATTGATGTTTGGATCTGTTCATACAAGGAGTTTGCAGGGGGGACACGGTGTGTTGTAGAGTGAATCCACAACATTTACAATTTTTGATTACGACGTTTCGCTTGCAATTACATCCAGCATCATCGGCAATTTGCCAGAATGTGTTAAGCAGCCAATGAGTAAGGAATGCCACGTGAACAAAACGTGTCAATTCATTACTAGTTCACCACACCGGTTGTGTGTTGGAGAGTAAACCCACAACATTTACAATTCGAGTAGGACATTTCGCCAGTAATTACAATGACCATCATCAGGCGACAGCCAGAGCTGTGGAGAAATCCTCCTGTTTTTATTCAGTTTAAATTCTTCAGTTATGTTTTTAGTTTTTTTTAAGTACTTTTCTGCCGCTGATTGACGTTTTTGGTGATTCAACTTTCTGTGGTTCCTTCCGATCGAACATCTTCCTGAAACAGTTCCTAATACGAGCGGAAAGATCCTTGAGCAGCCTGCTAGAGAACAGCAGGAGAGAATTTGGGCCCATTCAAGGAAAATTTCACAAAGTAAAAAATAACTGTTTACAGATTCGATTATTTCCAGAAGCAGATAGTAATAATAATTTGATGTTTCGAGCGTCATTCATGCAATTGCATCCCACACCGCTGCACATCAATAATTATCCAGTTCCGTACACAGATCAAAATAATCAAAAATACTTAACAAATAAAAAAGGTGGAGGGAGGAAATGAACGATACGACTAAAACAAGGGACAGGAAAAACACCTTATACTAATTATAATAATAGTATGACAACTTGTAACGTGCACAGTTTTGCCAATAAGCTGAAGTTATAGCGGGACGGGGAAGTGTGGAATGTTTTTTTTAAGTCCATTATTCAGACAAAGTATGACAGAGGATGACAGCGGAGATCGCTAGGAGATCGTGATACCTTGAGTGCCCGTATTAGGGTTCGTTCCTCCACCTCAATCCCTTTCTGGTCCAAGTGGTCGTACGCCGTGAAAGCCAGAGCAACGCTGCGTATTTCGGGAAAGCTGCCATGGATGATAACACGTAGTGGCGCACAGACACGGTTCGCGAAAACTGAATTCACTTATTTCAACATTTTAACGGTTGTGTAATAGAGCAGAGCCTTAAGTGATTTGGTTGCTAAGTGGGTAGAGTAAATACACGTTAAAGGCTTCATTCGTTCCGATGACATCGAAAGTTACCCATTTTCAGCCAAAAAAGATTTTACAATATTTAAACAATGGATATTCATGCATAAAGCTACAAACAACATTATAAACACGTAACATTAAAATAAACACGGTTAATCCATGCATTCATTAATATTCATTGGACCTACAAAAGCCTGCCATTAACAGGGGAATGGTCGGTAAGCGAACGCATTGGACTGGATGGAGGCACTCCACCACTATACACTATACACTACAATACACTATACACTACTCTACACTATACACTACTCTACACTATACACTACACTATACACTACTCTATATACTACACTACTCTACACTATACACTACACTACTCTACACTATATACTACTCTACACTACACACTACACATTGGGCTGTATGGAGGCACTCCATCATTATACACGACACTACTCTACACTATACACTACACTACTCTACAATATACACTACTCTACACTACACTATACACTACACATTGGGCTGTGTGGAGGCACTCAATCACTATACACTACACTACTCTACACTATACACTACACTACTCTACAATATACACTACACTATACACTACACATTGGGCTGTGTGGAGGCACTCAATCACTATACACTACACTACTCTACACTATACACTACACTACTCTACAATATACACTACACTATACACTACACATTGGGCTGTGTGGAGGCACTCAATCACTATACACTACACTACTCTACACTATACACTACACTACTCTACAATATACACTACACTATACACTACACATTGGGCTGTGTGGAGGCACTCAATCACTATACACTACACTACTCTACACTATACACTACACTACTCTACAATATACACTACACTATACACTACACATTGGGCTGTGTGGAGGCACTCAATCACTATACACTACACTACTCTACACTATACACTACACTACTCTACAATATACACTACACTATACACTACACATTGGGCTGTGTGGAGGCACTCAATCACTATACACTACACTACTCTACACTATACACTACACTACTCTACAATATACACTACACTATACACTACACATTGGGCTGTGTGGAGGCACTCAATCACTATACACTACACTACTCTACACTATACACTACACTACTCTACAATATACACTACACTATACACTACACATTGGGCTGTGTGGAGGCACTCAATCACTATACACTACACTACTCTACACTATACACTACACTACTCTACAATATACACTACACTATACACTACACATTGGGCTGTGTGGAGGCACTCAATCACTATACACTACACTACTCTACACTATACACTACACTACTCTACAATATACACTACACTATACACTACACATTGGGCTGTGTGGAGGCACTCAATCACTATACACTACACTACTCTACACTATACACTACACTACTCTACAATATACACTACACTATACACTACACATTGGGCTGTGTGGAGGCACTCAATCACTATACACTACACTACTCTACACTATACACTACACTACTCTACAATATACACTACACTATACACTACACATTGGGCTGTGTGGAGGCACTCAATCACTATACACTACACTACTCTACACTATACACTACACTACTCTACAATATACACTACACTATACACTACACATTGGGCTGTGTGGAGGCACTCAATCACTATACACTACACTACTCTACACTATACACTACACTACTCTACAATATACACTACACTATACACTACACATTGGGCTGTGTGGAGGCTTGTTGTTAAGCGATTAGTCGTGAACAGGAGTGGTCGTTAAGAGTAGTAATCGTTTCAACTTGTAAAACACCGCACGGTTTTCATTCGCTGCTGAAGACAGACAACGGCTCAGAGGCTGGAGGAGGAACCGCAGACAAGCGGGAAAGGCAGCCTCGCGGTGAGCCGGTGCCAATCCCCCCTCCCTCCCCAAAGCTCTGCGGTTCTCTAGATATTAAGGTGTTATCGGACAATTAATGAGAAAAAAAACCCGGAGGACCCGTTACAGGTGTGCGTAGCCACCACCACCCAGCTAAAATGACGGATGCTCTTTGTATTCAGAGGATTTTATTTGTCGTTTTCCCCAGGTCTGCATTTGGGCTGCAGGCCGAGTGCCGGAACGAGAGGAGAGTTGGGACAGCAGGGCTGGGGTCACTCATGAGGAGGTGACCGGGTGGCTCGCAGAATGTGTCCCCAATGCGGGAAACCGCCAAGAATAGCAGAGGCCCGGCCACACAGCGCTGCGCACGGGTGAGAGATTCGTATTTAAGCAGAATGTTCGGGTACCTCTGAGCGAGTAAATTGGCCCGTTTTATTTTCATGCAACGCAAAAAGAACCGCGACAAAGGGAGGGGAGATACAAAATCTCTGCGGACTACATCCCCAACTCAGCCCTCCTGGGTCCAGAGATAGGGGGGGGGAGAAATTGGGCTCGCTGCCCGCCTCAAGCGCGCTGGGACTGCGAGTAGGAGGACAAACCACACGGCCTCTTCCCAAACGGGCCACGTTGCCTGTTTGTGTACTGACGTGGTCCTACCTCAGTGCTCTGGCATCCAGCAGCTCGATGCATTTCCTGATGACGGCCGCATTGTGGTAGCCGGTCTTGAGGTTGTACGTGAAGTGAAGCGGTTCGTAGAGGTGGCCCAACGCGATGTGCTTCAACAGCTCCTGCGACACGGAGCACGCCGTGACGCCTGACGACCGGCTGCGAACCGATGTTTTACTTTAACTCGATGCTCGTACTGGCTGCATGTAAGTTGATTTTCAATGAGAGGAAGCCAAACATTTAGAATGAGTTACTTCCTTACCAATCACACAAAGCAGCGCGATGAGTGATGTGACAGTCCACGTATTTACTGTGGTGGATTTGGACTGAATATCAAACCATATCAACATGGAATGTCGCTAAACGCATTCTAAATTGAAAAACTAATTTCTATAGAACTGCCTGTTGTGTTTAGTTTGTTGTCCTTCCCCCGCGCCTCCGATTATCCACGGTTGGCTACGTAGGGTGGTGCGAAAGAAGTTCAACGTACATGCATACAATACACTCACCCACGTATTCACTCAACCACCCACTCACTCACCCAGTCACTCACTCACCCAGTCACTCACTAGCTCACTCACTCACTCACCCAGTCACTCACCCAGTCACTCACTCACTCACTCACCCAGTCACTCACTAGCTCACTCACTCACCCAGTCACTCACTCACTCACCCAGTCACTCACCCAGTCACTCACTCACCCAGTCACTCACTAGCTCACCCACTCACCCAGTCACTCACTCACTCACTCACCCACGTATTCACTCACTCACCCAGTCACTCACTAGCTCACTCACTCACCCAGTCACTCAATAGCTCACTCACTCACTCAGTCACTCACCCACTCACTCACTCAGTCACTCACCCAGTCACTCACTAGCTCACTCACTCACTCACTCACCTAGTCACTCACTCACCCAGTCACTCACTCACCCAGTCACTCACTAGCTCACTCACTCACCCAGTCACTCACTAGCTCACTCACTCACTCACCCAGTCACTCATTAGCTCACTCACTCACCCAGTCACTCACTCACTCACTCACTCACTAGCTCACTCACTCACTCAGTCACTCACCCAGTCACTCACTCACTCACTCACCCAGTCACTCACTCACTCACTCACTCACTCACTCACCCAGTCACTCACTCACTCACTCACCCAGTCACTCACTCACCCAGTCACTCACTCACCCAGTCACTCACTCACTAGCTCACTCACTCACTAGCTTACTCACTCACCCAGTCACACACTAGCTCACTCACTCACTCACTAGCTCACTCACTCACTCACCCAGTCACTCACTAGCTCACTCACTCACCCAGCCACTCACTCACCCAGTCACTCACTAGCTCACTCACTCACCCAGTCACTCACTCACTCACTCACCCAGTCACTCACTAGCTCACTCACTCACCCAGTCACTCACTAGCTCACTCACTCACCCAGTCACTCACTCACTCACCCAGTCACTCACTCACTCACCCAGTCAATCACTAGCTCACTCACTCACTCACCCAGTCACTCACTCACCCAGTCAAACACTAGCTCACTCACTCATCCAGTTACTCACTAGCTCACTCACTCACTCACCCAGTCACTCACTCACTCACCCAGTCAATCACTCACTCACCCAGTCACACACTAGCTCACTCACTCACTCACTCACTCATCCAGTTACTCACTAGCTCATTCACTCACCCAGTCACTCACTCACTCACCCAGTCACTCACTAGCTCACTCACTCACTCACCCAGTCACTCACTCACTCACCCAGTCACTCACTAGCTCACTCACTCACTCACTCACCCAGTCACTCACTAGCTCACTCACTCACCGAGTCACTCACTCACTCACCCAGTCACTCACTAGCTCACTCACTCCCTCACCCAGTCACACACTCACTCACCCAGTCACTCACTAACTCACTCACTCACCCAGTCAATCACTAGCTCACTCACTCATCCAGTCACTCACTAGCTCACTCACTCACCCAGTCACTCACCCAGTCACTCACTCACTCACTCAGTCACTCACTAGCTCACTCACTCAACCAGTCACTCACTAGCTCACTCACTCACTCAGTCACTCACCCAGTCACCCAGTCACTCACTAGCTCACTCACTCACCTAGTCACTCACTCACTCACCCAGTCACTCACTAGCTCACTCAACCAGTCACTCACTCGCTCACTCACTCACTCACCCAGTCACTCACTCACTCACCCAGTCACTCACTAGCTCACTCACTCACTCACCCAGTCACTCACTCACCCAGTCACTCACTAGCTCACTCACTCACTCACCCAGTCACTCACTCACCCAGTCACTCACTAGCTCACTCACTCACCCAGTCACTCACTAGCTCACTCACTCACCCAGTCACTCATTAGCCAGCTCACTCAACCACGGACGCTTGTGTTGCGCCCAAAACGTCGTGATTTATTTTATTTTATACCTACGTGACTTTACCGAAAGAACCAAAGAGTACAGGTCCCATTCATTCACTTGATTTGACGGCAGTGCATATTTAAAATAAAAAAAACGTGAATCATTCACGGATAATTTGATGTATTTGCGACTTCTCTTATCCGCAAATATATCGCAAATAGGATTTCGTTACGCAAAGACTTAGGGGAAAAAATTACAGGAAGAATAGGATCGCAGATAATAGGAGTTTCTGTCACCCTACAGCTGCTGCGAATAATAGGGCCACGGATGAGCGGAGTTCTCCTGCCCAGGGTGTTCCCTATCTGCTCCGCGTCCACACACCCCACCACCACAATTTAGCATCAATGAATATGAATAAAGTTTGAAGCTTACTTACTTTTGTGTGAATACAGTCATTATTTGTGTTGATACAGCGCCCTGATACCCGGTGGCGTCTCGGAGCACGTTACATGCGAGAACCAACTCTAAATTAAACTATCTTTTATTTGACCAGGTAAGGCTCACTGAGCCATATCACTCTTTTTCCGAAGCATCCTGACCATGGATGATAGCTCAACGAAGTGGCGTACCACGTGGGCATTTATAGACGCAGAATTCTCTAAACGCGTGACGTTGATTCTAAATGTGGAGGGGAAAACCAGAGGACACGGAGAAAATCCTTGCGACTACAAGGAGAGAGAGACGCAAACTCCAAATATACAGCAGCAGGCGTCAAGGTCGGGATCAAACCCACGACGTCCTGTACACCAGGCGAGGTAGTTAACATCTCCTAGCCACGATGATGATGAGAGAGAGAGACGCAAACTCCAAATATACAGCAGCAAGCGTCAGGGTCGGGATCAAACTCACGACCTCCTGTAGACCAGGCGAGGTAGTTAACATCTCCTAGCCACCATGATGATGAGAGAGAGAGAGACGCAAACTCCAAATACACAGCAGCAAGCGTCAGGGTCGGGATCAAACCCACGACGTCCTGTACACCAGGCGAGGTAGTTAACATCTCCTAGCCACTGTGGCGCCCCCACACATCTCACGGCCTTTAAAAACAAATTTGAAAGGGCAACCCCGAGTAGCAGCTGTTTCTTTCTGCACAGAGTGACTCAGCAGCAGTCCGGATAAGCATGAGTCTGTCAGCATGGGAGTGATGATTGCTGTTACGTGTACTCTCTATTGAGCACTTTGGGGGGTAATTTTTTCTTAATTTGTCAAATCTGGAACATAAACCAACGCTGCTGAAATTATGAACTCCCGGAAGGCTGCGTGGCTGATAGGATGTGTAAAACAAGGTTGTTTTATGTTGAGGGACAGACACATTGTGTGGAGGGACAGACACATTGTGTGGAGGAGGCAGTCTTGTATGCGCATTTATTTTGTTACTTTGAAGCCGTTCATCTCCCAGACTGCTATGATGAGCATGACACGAGTTAATTTAAAGTCCCACAAGAAACAAACTAAACGTACCACGCTATAATGATTAGCACGGTTGGCTGCGTACGGCGCAAACGAAGTTTAACATGCATACAGTACTGTACAAACAAATGCTTCACAACTGCCTCTGGCCAATGATTGCGGAATCGCACGGTGTACAATGTATTTATTTGCTACACGTGAAACATTGACAGCCTCCGTGTAGATATCCGCTCTGCTGCACCGTGTAACTACGTGCTGGGTGCACTGCCCTTCTGGGCATCGGTACGATAACAGTCCATCTAAAAAGCGTTCTATCAAAGGATAGAGGTTTAAGTATTCATTACGCTCTCGAAAGATATGTCATCAAGCCCAAGAGTGTCCTTAAAAAGTGTTTAATGCACGTGCATGCTGATAATAAACCGATAGAAGCTCTAAAAAGAGAGGGCATAGCATGTAATAAACAAGACATGATTGACAGGGCTAGTCTTCTGACTTGTAGTGGCACGCACAGTAATTAAAACACATGTACTATTGGCACAGCCGAGGTTCACGCATTCACAATCACCATCAGGGAAGGCGTTTTTACCTATTAACCTGATACAGATTTATAGTAGCCAAATATTTAAACAGTGTCGCCATGGTGGCGAGACGTTAACTGCCTCGCCTGGTATACAGGAGGTTGTGGGCTCAATCCCGACCCTGACGCCTGCTGCTGCTGTATATTTGGAGTTGGCGTGTCTCTCTCCCCGGGGGGTGTGGATTTTAATCCGGGTCCTCCGGTTTTTCCCTGAGTTTAAGAGTATTTGGTTGCAATAAATGTCCACGTGATGAGCCACTTCGCAGAGCTCCCATTTGTGGGCAGGTCGCTTCTGAAAGAGACCGATATCTTCGTGGGGCCTTACACGGTAAAATAGAAATGTGTTTAAATAGCTTAGTTGAAACAACTTGGCCAAGTACTTACATTGGGTGACAGACATGACGTTACGGAAAACAAGCCTGCACGAATATATATATTTTTTTAAACAGATATTTTGTTAGATCATCTGCAAAGTGTGTGGGGAAATTACACTGTGCAGCAACAGGAACACATGGGCAAACGTCGTGAGAATTATTTTATTATGTTTTATTTGTATTATTTTATTACTTCCCTTCTACGTGACTTTACCGAAAGAACCAAGAAGATGATTTTAGCGTTTCTTTAAATAATACATGATACATTTGAGCAGGCCAACAACTTATATATAGTGCCGGTGAACATTGACTTTCGTATTTATTCAAAGGATTTCGAAGTACACTGTAATGTGTACTCAAGAGTATCCATTCGTTACCTTTGAGCTGAGGCCCAGTTCGCCGCTGTAGCCAACGCTGTGCAAACAGTTGACAATTGTATTCCTTGGGTACTGATGGAAAGAGAAAACAACAATATGTATGAATGTAATGAATCTGTGTGTTTATACAGGACTGTGATACAGATACAATTAGAACGAAAGGTGTGCGGTCATTTGTCCTGTTCAAAAACAAAATGTGTCGGTGGACTACTCACTCCCAATGCTGTTGCAAGGATCCTGGGAAGGGAGGAGAAACCACGGTTATGCATGTGTAGTATCGTGTATTTAAGTCTCAAAACACGGACGGTGGCAATTCACCCGCGGTAATCGCCGTCGGGTTCTCTCCGACACAGCCGGCAAGATTCGTTTAGGTAAACTTCCACATGGCCCCAATCAGCGAAAACCCAATCAGGGTACAAGAAAGTGAGATGATTTGATGACACTGAAGGAGTTACCGTGCTACACCACGCACGTGTTGCGGAGCCATCAGGAAGGAGATCGTTCATCGTGAGGGAAATCATTGCCATGGAGTTGGAGGCCGAGCAGAGGGGGGTGGAATATTCAGTTTGAAATGACAAGCTCATGCATAGGGGACGTCCATAAATGATGTCACGCGATTTTTGACGATTTTTGACCCCCCCCCCCCCACCCCTGGTCACACGGCGTCACAAAAAGTCAGACACCCCCTCAAATATGACGTCACAAAGCTCTGCCCCCCCCCCCCCAAATGAAACATGCTTCAAATCGCTTTAAACTATTGTCATTGTAGTGCGTATTTAATGTGGCGCTGCACTCTGATGTTGTAGGAGAAAACATTTATTAATAAGTCTATTTAATTAAGTAGAACGTGTTGTCTATATTTATTTAAAGTTGCGCATTTTGATGTGACGTCACATTTCTCAACCCCCCCCCCCTCGTCACCCATCGTCACAAATGTCTGACCCCCCCCTCCTAGGTGCGTGACGTCATTTATGAACGGCCCCATACTGCGTTACCCACGACAAATTACTCACAAATTGCTCAATAAGTACGTGCCCATCGCGAACAGTCAGAGTAACACGATCGGGAAGGCGGTGGGTGGAAGAAGACGCTGTTCGGAGCGCATTGGGAGCTCCGTGCAAAGACGTTTGCAAAACGTCGTCACAGGCCGGAAAGCCAAAATGGTGACCAAAATAAAGGTTTTTGGGTTAGATCGCGTAAAAATAAATGTGTCGCTAAACCCGCCACCACCCGACACAGCCAATTATTAAGGTTTGTCACGTAAACAGAACGTGCCTATTCGTTTCTAGTCGAGCACACCGCTTGTGTGTTGGAGAGTGAACCCACAACATTTACAATTCGAGTCCCGTGGCGTTTCGCCGGTAATTACCCAACAGCAGCAGATACACCGCAGATGACGAACACATTCTGGCTGAAACAAAATAGGTGATGGAATAAACTTGCATCTATTTAGTCCCCCCCCCCCCCCCCCGAGTTATTCTTTAACAATCGTTCGACTGCTGCACGTTTTGTCTCCAAGACATTCAATAGTGACCCATTCCCTGCCCTATTTAATCAATTGTCTTTTCGTTAAATTACGTTCAAGATTTCAGTTTTTCTTTTTTTAAACGGCTGCCCGCATGCAATGGGGGCAGCCATGGAGCCACGCGTGGCGAGTTGCCGACCCCTGCCCAAGCCGGAAGGGTTCCAGGGGGACACGGCACATGGGCTGAACACCGCTGGTTTAAGAGTGATAGTCACAATTTATAAACGAAAGCCTTCATACTCTTTGGTTCTTTCGGTAAAGTCACGTAGGTATCAAATAAAATAAATCACGTTTCGGACGCAACACAAGCGTCCGTCATCAGGTGGGAAAGCTGATGACGGACGTGATTTATTTTATTTTCTACCTACGTGACTCTACCGAAAGAACCAAAGAGTATGGATTCCTGCAGTCACGAGAGCTTCAAATCAAGATTGAAAGCAACAGCCAGTACCAAACCTTTTGCGACTTGGAGCATATCTCATCTTATTGTCATTCATATAGCGCCTTGATGCAAGGCGCCTTGATGCAAGGCGCTGGACGATACATTTACTATTTGTACGGCGGAAGAGTGATGAGATGATGAGTTGACGAGGATGGCCGTGCACGATGAATATGATGATGCGTGAAATGAACGACGATGAAAGTGACAATGAGTGGGTTAATGATGAGTGCGTGTAATGATGAATGGGTCGGCGAAAGTTGGGAAGAAGAGGGCATGGCGGTGTTGATGATGGGGAAGGGAAGGGGGAAGAGGCGTTTGGGTTATTGAGAGCGATGATCGGTGTTTTACGGGAAGAGCGAATAAGAAACAGTGAGGGTGATTCTGATATCTTTAAGTGGATTTGTTTAAAATGTGGATGGAACGACGGAGAGGTGTAGCCTGGTGGGTGGCTGGGTGGCTGGGTGGGTGAATGTTGACACTGGTGGTGAGACTAGGCCATACAGAAGGCTGTCTGCTGTAGGCCAATCAGTTTCAAAGACAATGCGAATATAATAATTATCAGAGCGTGTTTGCATGTTTTGCCACAGGTACATGTGGTCGATGCAGACTTGATTCCTTGCACAAGGGATCAATTTGGTGTTTGAACATTTTAACATCTGTTTTATTGTCAGACACGATCAAACATATTATTATTGTTCATACTGGGGGTGATTATTATTCTTAGGTTTTTTCGGTTAAGTCACGTAAGTAAAAATATCAAAATAAAAATAAAATAAAAATAAAAATCACGACGTTTCGGAGGCAACACAAGTCTCCGTCATCAGGTGAGACGGAGACTTGTGTTGCCTCCGAAACGTCGTGATTTTTATTTTTATTTTATTTTTATTTTGATGTTTTTACTTACGTGACTTAACCGAAAAAAAACCTAAGAATATGAATCTTTGCAGTCACGAAAGCTTCAAATCTAGAACTGGGGGTGATTGTTTGACGTGTACGGGGCAGGTTGTTCCAGTTTAAGGGGACCACAAGCGAGAAAGAAGGGAATGGTGATTGGGCACAAGGAGAGGGGGAACAGAGACAGCTGGGATTGTGGACTGAAATGAGGGAAGCGAGATGCCACGTTGGGCAATCTTCCACCTGTTCAAGAGACGGAGCTGCGTTGCGCCGACTGGAATATCAATGCAGTCCAGTATAGAGCATTTGAAACGTATTGCCTGCAGACTGCAGTGCAATGACAACTGCTGATGTAACGTGTGTGCGTTAAAGGCGAATGGAACACGAGATGTGGACGTATACAGTTACAATGCTGCTTAGCGTTTCTATGCAACTGCTTCTCACGACGCGATACAACAGGGGTGTGTGTGTGTATTCTTAATTTGAGGCGGAATCGAAATATTTTTTCGGTTGAAGACAGTAGCTGGCCATCGAACAAAGACGGTCACTGCATCGCGCGCTTTCAGATGTGCTTCCTTCTGATATTAGCAAGTCACTGGAGCTATGCTCTTTGAATCTAGATTGAAAAAAACTAATTTCTTTCGAACTGCTTTTTTGTTTAGTTTTTTGCCCTTCCCCCGCGCCTCTGATTAGCACGGTTGGCTACGTACGGTGCGAAAGAAGTTCTACTTTCAGTTCAGTTCAACTTTCATACAGAGAGGAGAAAAGGAATGTCTTGAGCCTGGACTTGGAACAGGGGCAGGTGAGTGAGGTGAGTGATTTGAGTCGACAGCACGGATGGCCAGGGAAGCGAGTTCCAGACAGTGTGGACAACAGCGGAGAAGGAAAGACATCCCGACATTGAAACTAAACACGTTACACTCCCTTCAAGGGAAGTGCAGTATAAAAAAATTAACCCGTAAAAACAAAGTTTTTCACTATAAATCCTTTATATGCGTGGCGGCTAGAGTCCTCTCGTCCTCTGGCTTGAGATGGCTGCCACCTATGGGTCAGATGATTGTCTGCCACCATTAAGCAATTGGTAATTAAATATTTAAAAACGTTTCCCTAAACAGTGTAAAATTTTGGAAAAAAATTTTCACGAAAATCAATTGTCACGCACAACGAGTCTGTGCAAAATGTCAGCTCGATTGGATCACGGGAAGTGGGTTAAAAAACGACCGAAAGATTTGCACGGTCGTAAGCAAGCAAGCACGCAAGCACGCAAGCAAGCAAGTGAACTTAATATAAAGGATTTAAAAATGAAAAGGTTTGGGACAAAGGCCCTTCTTCATGGCGCACAGAGAGGCCACCGAGGTAAAGTGAATAAGCCTTGGAGACTGCTCTTTACACCACGGGCCTGATGAGAATTGGATTAAAACATTGTTTTCCGATGAGCAGTTTGAATTTGACATTTGAATAGTTACGCAATTCAGTGTGCGAGATTCTCCGTCAGCTATCGCGCTGCTCTTGTTCAACAGTCTCGGTGCTGTCGATACATTTCATACAATAATCCCATGTTATCTTCTATGTAAATGAAGACCTTAATCTGTATGTACGTCTCAAAAACCTCGAGGGTACTTTCCGACAAGGTAAAAAGCTGACATGTGGTACATATTGTAGGCAGCTTTTAGGAGACAAAAACATGCAGAGAAATCTGAAAATCCCCAATGGTTTCAAATGTATGGCGGCCCTCGCACTAATTATGTCTTTCGGCGAAAGTGCCCTCCTCCCCTCGGAAAATTTGTGAAGAACACTGGCGTGGATTGTGTGTGACCCTTTATAGCACGCGTTTTCTCTTCGTGTTTAATTAGCGGCACAGAAGCTGACGCGTAGCCAGCCGTCAGGACAAAATGCGTTGTCATATTTGAAACACTTTGCTATGGATTGTGTCTATTTTTGGCAACCGTTTGGAAAATGTTGCCAATTTTCTTTTGGGCAAGTCCCTCGTAGCAACGCCACTTTAAATGAAAGTTTTGCCCGTTTTGGATCATATTTACGAGAGTTATTGTGACCTTAGGCCCCCAAATCTAGATTTTAAGTGCCCCACAAAATGTTTGTGCCTGGTGTCATTCAGAAACCGTTCAAAATATAACATTGCGCTTTTTTTCATTTGATAGAGCGTTAAACAACAAACACAATTAAAGCGAGAACCACTGTTCTATCTTTGATTGTTTTTGAGATATTTCAGATTTACGTAGTTTTGAATGAAAAAATACGCATTTGATAATGTTCAAATCTGAATACTTCCAAAACGGTAAAAGATATGAGAGCTTCCCTTCATAGAGAATAACGTTAATTCATTTTGTTCTTTCTAATTAAAAAAAAAACGGAATCTTGAAAATGAGTGGTTTCCGATGAGGACGTCTTTAAATCTAAGAAGTTGAATCAAGTCATCAACAAACATTTTTTTGCGGAAAAATAAAAATTTTTGTAGTAGTTGTTAGTTTCTTATCGTCGATCATAATTGTAAAAAATCATGAGGTCCATTATTATATTTCTTTTAAACGTTTGCCTGGCGAAGATAGGCTTTATGAACTAGTAATAAATACATCAGCAAGGTACAATAATATAGTATCAATGTAAAAAAACATCGTTCCACGGATAGTATATTTATCAGGCCATCTCCACGAGTGCATTTGGTACCATGGCAGGAAAAGGGCATTCCTGACACTGCTGTGACTGCAAAATGGGCAATACAAACTGACCACAGTGAATCAGTAGCAGTGCGTGGGAAAACACACATTTGTGTCAGCTTTGTGCAAATCAAGATTTAAAGTTATCACATAAATACCGATCAAATCAAAGCAAATGACGGCTGCTCATGTATTCACTTCGGTGAAGGGGTCTACCTTTGTAATTCTCCGTAACATTTTGTAAGAATGTAAAAAACAACCCTCCATGATCAATTATTAAAATAATCCACTTAAACGCATCAATAAAACAAATGAATTGTACTACCTGTCAAACATAGTGTTCACACAACTACACAGCTCATGTCACCTCTAATCAAGCCAGTCAGGACCGACCATGCACACAAGGGTATTTACGTCTTACCTTAACTCAGCCCAGCTGTAGTAATGTGCCGTGTCGGGAAATGCCACTCCCATTATGAATGTTTAACCGTTGCACCTAAAACGTCCAAATGGTCTGCATTTTTACATCTACTTTAAAGCAGCTCAAACTATTCGCATAGCATCTGTAAAACCAAAGCCACAGGCAAGGCCCCATGCGTGCCTTCCTTGTTGTCGGATTGTTGTTGTGCTGACCTGCCGCTGAGTCTTTATGACATAGACATGTTTCCATGGACTCCAGTATCCAACAACAAACCGTAAAGCTGCGAGTCATGTGGGGGCAGAAGCGAGGGCCATTGTCCCCCCTTGCGTGGACTCGTGCGGTGTTATCTTTACGCCTCATTGTTGTGGCAGAACGACGACGTCAGCTCGCCGTTCAGTCACGTTTGGCGTCGTGTCCATACCGCCTGGTGTGGAGCTGGCCCGAGCTGGAGGCTGTGTGCGCCACGCACACCCCCCAGTTGCAAGTGAAGGCGAATTAAAACATCGACCAGTTCTCGTCGCCGAAGCACACAACGTCGTCCTCGAGTGTCTCCTTGAGGCTCGACTTGACAACAAAGCCACACACGCGAGCGCCGCTCAAGCGGGGGGTTGGTTGCACGCGGCGGGTGGACAATTGGCGACTGCGCGTACGAGCGTGGCTGGTTGTGTGGCCTCCGACTCCCTTGTTTGTTGAGCCCTTGCACGTGCTGCGACGCCTGTTAACTGCATTAGCCGGCATTTTTGTCGTCTTTTGAAGCCGACTAAATGTTCACGAATACTCTTTGGTTCTTTCGGTGAAGTCACGTAGGTATAAAATCAAATAAATCACGACGTTTCGGGCGCAACACAAGTGTCCATCATCACAAGCGTCCATCAGGTGGGAAATCACGCTTTCTCACCTGATGATGGACGCTTGTGTTGCGCCAGAAACGTCGTGATTTATTTTATTTTATACCCACGTGACTTTACCGAAAGACCCAAAGAGTATGGATTCCTGCAGCCACGAAAGTTTCAAATCAAGAATGTTCACGAATGTTTTGCTTCTTGTTGTTGTTGTGCCGACTGACCTCTACCCCAACGTTTCATCATCCAGAGCATAGCTTTAAAACTGGTGGAGCTAATCAGAATTGGAATGATGGGGGTGGGGGGATAGGTAAGGTAGTGGATGCCCTCAACTCTCATTATTCCCAGCAGCAATCACAATTCACCAGACTGGCTGTTTCACTACTGGACATCTGTGACGACTGGACATGTGGGAAAAGAGCTTTAAAGCTCATCAGATTCCTCCAATATAAATATATAATTCTGATTTTGATCCCATCCACACTCTGGCCAAACACCACAATGCAGGTCAAATCACGGATGACATCAGTGGCAGTAATTCCTCCGCACCTCCGATTAGCACGGTTGGCTGCGTATGGTGCAAAAGAAGTTCAACATGCATATGTAACGGGTTCCGGAGACACTTGTAGAGGTAACTTCTTTATTACAATCCAACAGGCCAACAGTCCAACAGTCCTGATACTCTGTAACAACTCCCAGGTACACAGCCTAGATACACTACTCTGGCTACGCTCTGGAACTCGGCCTCACAAGGTCGTAGAGTCGGGAGTTCCAGAGTCCCACCACTGGCTCTCACAGCGTCCCAGGGTCCTCAGATGGCTGGTCTTGGGTCTTGAGCTACGACTGGCCCTGATCGTCCAGGAAGCTCCCCTTTTATGCCTAGTCCCCAACGAGGGGTGGGGCCGTGTGCGCCCCCAGATATCCCACAGAGCACACACAGCCCCCCCCCCCCCCCCCCTTTGGGGGCGCCAAGGGGCTTAAGCGCCTGGGAACCCAATGCCTGGCGCCAAGAGGCTTAAGCGTCTGACTCGCCTGGGAACCCACGCCTGGCGCCAAGGGGCCCAAGCGCCTGGCCCGCCCAGGGTCCCAGAGCCCCCAGCAGCCCCTCCCTTCTTATGTCACTACACATACGTGCATACAATACACTTACACTCACTCAACCACTCACCACACTGCAGGTCACATTACACACCCATCCACTCACTCACCACACTGCAGGCCACATTACACACCCATCCACTCACTCACCACACTTCAGGTCACATTACACACCCATCCACTCACTCACCACACTGCAGGCCACATTACACCCAGTCACTCACTTACCACACTGCAGGCCACATTACACACCCATCCACTCACCACACTACAGGTCACATTACACACCCATCCACTCACTCACCACACTACAGGTCACATTACACACCAATCCACTCACTCACCACACTGCAGGCCACATTACAAACTCATCCACTCACTCAGCACACTGCAGGCCACAGTACACACCCATCCACTCACTCACCACATAGCAGGCCACATTACACACCCATTCACTCACTTACCACACTGCAGGCCACATTACACACCCATCCACTCACCACACTGCAGGTCACATTACACACCCATCCACTCACTCACCACACTGCAGGTCACAGTACACACCCATCCACTCACTCACCACACTGCAGATCACATTACACACCCATCCACTCACTCACCACACTGCAAGTCACATTACACACCCATCCACTCACTCACCACACTGCAGATCGCATTACACACCCATCCACTCACTCACCACACTGCAGATCACATTATACACCCGTCCACTCACTCACCACACTGCAAGTCACATTACACACCCATCCACTCACCACACTGCAGGTCACATTACACACCCATCCACTCACTCACCACACTGCAGGTCACAGTACACACCCATCCACTCACTCACCACACTGCAGATCACATTACACACCCATCCACTCACTCACCACACTGCAAGTCACATTACACACCCATCCACTCACTCACCACACTGCAGATCACATTACACACCCATCCACTCACTCACCACACTGCAGATCACATTATACACCCGTCCACTCACTCACCACACTGCAAGTCACATTACACACCCATCCACTCACCACACTGCAGGTCACATTACACACCCATCCACTCACTCACCACACTGCAGGTCACAGTACACACCCATCCACTCACTCACCACACTGCAGATCACATTACACACCCATCCACTCACTCACCACACTGCAAGTCACATTACACACCCATCCACTCACTCACCACACTGCAGATCACATTACACACCCATCCACTCACTCACCACACTGCAGATCACATTATACACCCGTCCACTCACTCACCACACTGCAAGTCACATTACACACCCATCCACTCACCACACTGCAGGTCACATTACACACCCGTCCACTCACCACACTGCAGTGTAAATCCCTCCCCCCGTCATCTCTCTTCCCAAGTTCTTAGAATAAATTTGCTCAATCCAAGAATCTTGTTCACTCAATTAATTCAGGATTTGTAACGCTCTTGTCTGTTACGTTGCTAGTGCTGTTCGTTCCCGGTCGCTTGACGTTTTGGACGTTTGGCCACTGTGATCAGCAAAGATGAGAATAAAAACATTCAGTGACATCGAATTGTCACGGTCTATCATCAGTTAACGTCACGGATTTCATCGAGGGGTTCATTAAGCCAGTTTGGCAACATCACGGCTGACATCGGTGGCGTTTGGGCCAGGCCCCAGGAGTAATACAAAAATAAACATCTGAAACAGTAGCGTACTTACCTGCTCATTATAAAGACAATACATTGCACACGCTTGTTACCATAGCGCCACTCAATGGATCTGCCACCGAGCAGGTGAGATTTCCCAGGAGCACTTCACCGGTGAGGTCGCTAAGCAGTCGAGCAAGCGGCTCACAGTCGGCAGGTTGAGGGTTCAAAACCTGGTTGCAGGTTGACTCGGCCCATCAGCCCTCCGAGGGCCTTTAAATAGGTACCACTCGGCTCTGCCATAGGGTTTGTAGACAGGGGATGAGCACCGTCTCAACGTTCATTTGAGAAAGGCATCATGGACTTTGATTTATTTAACACGATCATAGTAGCATCCCGAGGCAAGTTAGATCAGTCAATGTCCACTGTGAAAAAGATGGTGCGTATTTGTATTGGTATTACCCACGCGCACTATTAATCAGGGCAGCTGCTGCATTCGAACTGTGAACCTCTGTAACAAGCAGCAGACGCGCTACTACCAGGCCTCGCCTGCGTTTCAACGTGCCAGCGATAATTCTCGTGGTGTGATTACGCTGCGCGTCTGCCGGTCGATGAGAATAGCCGAACATGCCGACACGGGTGCACCGGTCTGTGGTGATGCTCCTCCTCGGGTCGTCCCGCGTTGTCTCACGAGCGTCGGCTGGAGCTGCCGCACGTCATCTGACGTCGCCCCACAATCCTTCTCATCGACGCAATGCCGAGCAACCGAACTCTCAACGTGCGCCCTGGCATTTCAAAGGGCCACGCAGGGAGGTTGAACAATGGGGGGCTCCCACTCGGGTCCACCCTGGCTCCGGCTTTATTTAAACTCAGTGGCATGTTGTTGACAAAGTCTTGCGAATATCAAATTCATGTGTGGACGACATTGTGACCGGAAATCCAAGCCTCTCTACATTCGAGGCAACAGAGAGAACGACTGTGGCACGTGAAGCCCGATGCAGGGAAGGTGTCTGTGGTCCCCTTCTATTCGAACAACGTCGAAAGCTCCGCCACACAAGGTCAAATTCCGTGACCCCCCCCCCCCACCTTCCCATGACCAAAAACCCCAATACCTTGGAATCACCCTTGACCAGACTCACACCTATGAAATCCAGGGTTAATGTCACCCAAAAAGTTGGCAGGCACTTCCTGGGGATGCGACACTGGGACCCTTCATACATTAACATAGGCCCGACGGCAGAATATTGTGCTATGTCTTGTCTGGTGCAACAGCTGTAGAAGCGGGTTCGTTGACAATAAAATCAACACTGTGGCTGCATGTGGCAAATGGCTTCCTGTAATCTATGCCACCGCAGTGGCTGCCAACATCCCATCATCGAACATCCGAAGGGATGTTGCAACAATTAGGATGTATACGATCTTGGAAAATCGAAATCTCCCTCTGTATATGAACATCAAATCTCCACCGTCCTCTTGTCCGAAATCGAGACATTCAAGTTGGATACATTCCTGGACTCAGTAAATATCCCCGCCACCCAATGGCAGGAGACGTGAGAAGCAATGCAGTCCCAAACAAGAACCTTGTTGAAGACCCGAGCAAGGGACAG